AGAATATAGACACTCTACATGGCGGAGAAAAAGGTGGATGGGAGAAGAAATAATGGCGGAGAAGGACAAAGGGAACAGGGGGCAGAAACAAAGAAGGTAGGCTGATTAAAAAATTTTTAGCTTTCAGGAGTTTCCAGTGAATTGTGAATCTTCCCACAGTACGCTTCTTCCAGCGCGATTCGGCGGCAGCGCCCGCAACCTCCATCCCCTTCCCCCCTCCTCCTCCTCCTCCTCCTCCTCCTCCTCCTCCTCCTCCTCCTCCTCCTCCCAGCTACCGCCCTTCTCTTCCTCTGTTTTTTCCTCGTTCTTTCCATACCTGGCGAGCAGTGAAGGCTGCGAGGACGACAGAGAAAGCAAGGAGGAGCAAGACGCAGAAGGTGGAAGACTCAGGGAAGCTCGAGTACGCTGTGCTCGCCGCCTGCTCCCCGAAGCGCTTGCGACAAGTGCTGCGAGCCACGAGGAAGAGCGAGCAGGGAGCGAAGAAGGCGATTACAAAACCGAACATGCCGTTGAACTCCAGGATCTTGGCGACGTCCTTCACGAAGGCTGCGAGGGTGATGGGGAGGAGGGAGAGGAAAATTTTGAGCAGCTTTCTCGCCCTCTCCTCTCCTATCCTGAGGCTCCATCGAGCGGGAAGGAGACGAAGGATGGTCTCGGCGAGGGGGAGGAGGTTCAGGGGGAACGCTGCGCTGACACTGACGACTGGGAAGAGAAGGACGGTAGTGGAGATGATGGGAGCCCACCAGCGGATAGGCATGCCTGCCTGCGCTCCTCCCGTGTAGTCCTCCCAGTTGAGCGTGATGATGGGAACGACGCGAGGGCCGAAGTAGTAGATGGTGGAGCAGCAGAGGACGGAGTAGAGGACGAGGGTGAAGGAGAGGGCAGTGCGGAATACTGTCTTCGCCTGCTTCCCACTCCTCATCGTCTTCATCAGCGTCGGGACCCCCTGGTGGCAGATCTGGCTGAAGAGAGCAGCAGTGATCAGCTTGCCGAAGCCTGACATGTCCGTAGGAGGCAGACGATGGTACGCGGCGTCGTTCCCTCCGTCGGTGTAGACGGCGACGACGCAGGTCACCACCATGACCAGGAGGGCAGAGAGAGCGAAGCTGCTGAGGAGGAACTGAACGTTCTTGAGCGCTGCAAGGTCCATGCATGCCATAGCTACCATGAGGAGGGCGAAGAAGCAAAGGAACACCTCGTAGCTCTGACGGCAGTAGGAGGCGACGGCGGGAGCGGCGACGCAAGCAGCTGTCATGTTGTCCCACCTGCATGCTCCGCTGCATGCTTGATCCTGCACCGCATCGCACCTCACAAGGCACCAAGCTATGCTGGTCGGGCGATCGCCGAGAGGGAGAGGAACGACGAGGGAGAGGCTGGAGCCGAAGACGGTGGCGTACAGCCAGAGGGAGCCGATGGTGTACAAGAGGAGGCAGAGCTCGAAGAGCTTCCTCCCGTAGCCCCCGAGAAAGATGCCGCAGAGCTCGCTCATCTCATACATGGCGACCTCTCTGTCGACGGCAGGACGAGCTTCATGCTTGGAGCTGGAGGGCCCAGCATCTAACTCCGTCACGTCCGATGGAAGCTCAGCAATCGCGTCATCCCTTCCTCTGCTCCCTCCCTCCCCCTCCTCCCCTGTACGCTCTTCCCTCCCTGCCGTATGCTTCACCATGTAGTGCGCCCATGCCGAGACCTCCACAAGGTATCCCATGGTCATCGCCGACATCACCGTCGCTATGAACATGCTGATCAACGATATAACGGCGCCGGCATGGTAGAACGCGTACGGCAAGCCGACGACTCCTGCTCCCACCACCATGTTCACCGTCAAGATTGTCGCTGTAGCAAAGCCGAAACCCTCCGAAGGCGGCTCTCCTCCTCCCTCCCTCTCCCCATGTTCCTCGCTGTTGGAATCCTCAATGTTGATAGCTGGGTCGTCCATCATCAGCCATTGGTTCAAGGTCTCTCCTCCTCTCCCCGCGTCGGAGCTTGCGAGAGGCATGTTGTGGTCCAACAGAGGAAGAAACGCTCGCAATCACGAGAGCCACAAATGTACCTGAGCAAAATATCAGCAAAACTTGGAACGCAACAAAGTCGATCACGATGACAGTTCAGGATCGGAATGTAACCAACAAGCTTTTTGAGCACACATATGGTATGATAGGGGTTCCAATCCATTCCATTTCTACCGCTACAGCCCTCCTCCTCTTGCGTCCCTTCCCTGCCAGCGCATCTCTTCACTTCCATTCCTCCACCCTTCTATGCCTTCCATTGTTTCCAGTCTCCTTGACTGCTCCCCTCTCTCTCCTTGCATCTTCGCTATCATGCATGGCGCCATCTCTCCATCTTCTGGTCTCTTCCTTCCTCGCCATGTTCTCGCTCCTCCTCCCCTTCCGCCTCTCTGCATCGTGCGCTCCCCTCCCCATCCCGCAACAGTTTCTCCCCCGTTGCACCTAAGTTTAGAAGTCAGCCACCAAATTTTGAAGAATATCTCAAAATATTTATGAAATATTCAAAGAAACAATATAAATTTGAGAGTTTCTTCCCGAATACTGATGTTGCCCCAAATCTGCCCGACATTCCCCAAAATCCGCCTCAGAAAACATTCCTAGCTTTGACACATGGCCGTGCCTCGTTAACAGTCGGATATGCACCTGCCGGGCGGCAGTTACCGTAGTACTGCGGCGGCCCGGGCCCGGAGCCCAGCAGTCTACTATGATAAGACTGATGCTGCGGCGATCGGGGAGGATTTCAGCCTGACAGTAATGCAGCCGTCCGAGTGAGAGATCAGAGCAGAAAAGACAGGGAATGCCCAGCGGCAATGACAGTGAGATTGTAGATACACAGACTGATTGCGTTTATTTACAGGTCGAAACAGGTGCCGAAGTGCTCAGGAGGAGTAGATGACGGGGACCTCAACAGTGCGGGAGACGTCTCCTCCCATGAGGCGCACGAGAAGCGTGTGGACGCCTGGAGGGAGACGCTGCAGGTCGATGGGTGGGAGGGAGTGCCTGAGTCTCTCCTTCTCTATGGGAGGATAGCAGGGCTGCGCTTCCCCGAGGGCAGGAGGCATCTTGAGGACAGCGACCTGGAGGAGGCGGTGAGGGGAGGATGGTGGAAGGAGGAGAGGGAGGAGGGAGGAAGAGAGAGGAGGGAGGAGGAGAGAGGAGGGAGGAGGAGGGAGGAGGAGGAGGAGGAGGAGGGAAGGAGGGAGGAGGAGGGGAGGGAGGAGGGTTGAGGAGAAGGACTCTCAAGTAGCAAGAGGGAGGAAGAGGAGGTGGGAAGCAAGCCACCTGCTCTCGTGTGAAGGCATCGTACACGAAGTCGTCGATCTCCAGCAGGTACGTGATGGCGTTGAGGCTGCTCATGGGCATGCCAAGAGTCTCGAAGACAAGGGAGAGTGTAGGAGATCTCTGCTCGCCCAGGTAGGGGACGGTAAGGTTGCCATCCGCAGGAGGGGGAGAGAGGATCTGCAGGAAGAGAATCACAAAGGGAGGAGGAGAGGAGGAGAGGAGGAGAGAAAAGGGATAAGTAAGGATGGTGGAGAGGAGGAGGATGGAAGGAATCAGCAAGGCAGGAGGAGGAGAAGAGGAGGGGAGAAGAGTGGGTCAGAGCTGACATGGGCCTCGAAGGTTTGGCAGGTCTCCGTCTCGTTGTGGAAGGAGGTTGAAGCTCTGGACCAGCGCATCGCATCCTCGGGGTCGAAGGGAACGTCTGCTTGCTCCATCAGATTGGCAAGTCCTGTTAGGAAGGAGGAAGGGTAGGAAGAGGGAAGGGGAGGAAGTGGGAAGGGGAAGAAGGGAGGGGAGGGAGAAATGCGGGGGAGAAGGGAGGAAGGGGAAGGGAGGGGGTTGAGAGTGAAAGGTAGGCGGGAGGCGGGAGGGGAAAAGGTGAGGCAGAGAAGGAGGTGGGAAAAGGATGTAAGAAGGCCAGGAACACTGACAGGGTTGAGGGCAATCGACGGATTCCTTCACTGTCTCCTCTCGGTTCCATGTTGTCATGGTGTACTCGCCAGCTAGACAGACATCCCATGGGCCGCAAGTGTACTCCTCCGTGTCGTCTCTGCAGCTCAAGGATGAGGAGAAGGAGGAGGGAGGGAAGCAAGGAAGGGAGGATGGATGGATGGATGGATGGATGGATGGAGCCTCGGACGGAGATGGGAAAGGAAAGGAACATAGCGGGGAGGGCAAGGCGTTTGGAGCAGGATTGAGAATTCGAGGGCATCGGCTGAAGGGATTTCCGGAGCGACGGCAAAAGGAAGTAAAACAGCATCACCTTAGCTTCGATATGTTGTACAGACTATACCTCTCTTCGCTGATAATGGCAAACAGCGGCCGTTCCCTGGGACAATCCCTAGATCAGCTCCTCCTCCTCCTCCTCCTCCTCCTCCTCCTCCTCCTCCGCCCTCCGCCCTCCGCCCTCCTCCCTCCTCCCTTCTCATGCCTCTTGCTCCTCCTGCTCCTCCTCCTTCACCTCCACGACCGTCCAAGGAGCCATCCGGTAAGGCCGAACGACGACTCCATCGTCAGCACCGCCGCGTCCACCATGCTGAACATGTACCACTCCACGAAGGTCCGATGGAGCTCCTGGAAACTGACCCCCTTGTCCATGTGCAGCGCTGCTCCCGGAAGCCTCCACAGCCGCTCCCTGTACCCCAGAGCCACCAGCTCATCCTGCACTTCGTCTCTATCGGTTACCAGGAGCCATCGGACGGTCTTGCCCTCTGTGTTGTACTCCTCCTCCACGTGCCTTGCCACGTTGGCGAACCTGACGACGTCCTTCCTCAGATTGCTCTCATTGAATAGTCGGAAGTCCGATCCGATCCCCACCCGCACCTGGAGTGCGATGGTGTAGAAGCCTTTCATTTCCTCAGCTATGTCTTGCAAGTCCTCCATGACTCTCCCGTACGGGGAGAACAGGAAGGTTGCCAGACGCGAAAAAGCATCATCGACTGACCTCAGGTCGTATCTACATGCTGCTTCCCTCAAGAATTTGTTGTACAGTACATCGCGGAGGTACAACTCGCTAGAGGGGAGAACCCAAAGTATTCTCTCGGTGTATTCAAGGAAATTTTCGGAGGCTACAAACTTTCTCTTCTTCATTCTGACCTCCTGCTCAAGGATCAGATCAAAGAGAGCAGGGAGAGAGCAGGGAGAGAGCAGGGAGAGAGCAGGGAGAGAGCTGGGAGAGAGCAAGCAAGGAGCATGCCGGTCTGAACTCCTTGCCTGATTGTTGCTGTCGGTTGCATCCAGCCCAACGAAACCGCAATCCACCGACAATGGCGCGAAGAGGAACTGGGAAGGGACCCTCCAATCTATCCCCCGCGATCTAACGAAGTTGTCGAGCTCGTACGGGGGGCGCCCAGGGTAGTCGATGAAGAAAGCTCTGTCAGTCAGCAGCGCAAGTGCGAAGGCAGAAACTATGTTCTGTACCCTGTTGCCGAGCCCCCCGCAGCTCCCAAGGGGTCTGCATCGCCACACCAGGTACTTGTAGTCTACGCTTGCTCCCTCCTCCTCCTCTCCTCCTCCTTCCAAGTCTCGACGGCTCCTCCTGTGCATGTCCCGGTACTCCTCCCATGCACCCCCCATGATGGTGATCCGAGATTTCCCTGAAACATCGGGCACGGCCGGGTGTAAAGCTAGCGTCTTCACACATAAAGAAGTTTTTCGTGGTAGGGAAGGGCAGGGAGGGAAAGAAGGGAAGGGAAGAAACGAAGGGGAGGAGGAGGAAGAGAAGCTGGGTGTTAGAGAGAGGACAGTGGACAAAGAGCACACAGATACGTGAAGAAGAAGGACGAGGAAGAGACAGACGTGAAGAAGAAAGGCGAGGAAGAGACAGGAGGGAGGAGGTTGGAGGAGAAGTTTTTGATGTCTGGAGGTTGTGAGTTGAGCAAGTGACGTGCACTATGTGGATCGTTGGAGCAAGCTTGCGTGTGGCCTTCTGTTGAAGGTCAGTGCGGTAAGAGCCTGGGAGTATGTCGACAACGTCGGGAGGCGAGGTGGACGTACTGTGGTTGAAGAGAGACGTCCGCGTGTCGGACAACGAGGCGCTGTTCCATGCATGCCTCAAGAGAGTTCGACCGCTCGTCATCCTGTACGTGTACGACAGGCTGCTGTGGTCCAGCAACCACCTCCATGAATCTCACCTCAAGTTTGTCAACGAGGGCCTGGCGAACTTTGAAGACACTCTCTGCACAAGGTACAAGCTCAACAGAGCGGTATGCTACAGAGTCGGGCTAGTGGAAGAAGTCTTGGAGGAAATCCACCGCACGTACAAGGTCGCTTCCGTGTACTCGTCGTGCGAGGTCATGGATCGCGCGATGAGGGATTGCGTGGATAGGGCCAGGCAGTGGTCGGAGACCAGAGGAGTGCAGTGGATCAGCTTCGACCAGACGGGAGTCTCGTCGTCACCTAAGAGGGATGGATGGGCTAAGAGGTGGAAATCCAACATGCAGCTTCCTATGAAGCCGATGCCGGAGGAGATCCGCGTTCTGAGCGACGGGAGCTTGCAGCATGGTTCGATCGTGGAGGATCCGAAGGAAGTCGGGCTGAAGTACTTCGGTCAGCGTCCTGAAGCGCAGAAGGGAGGGGAGGATGAAGCGAAGAAGCTGCTGGCGTCGTTCTTGAGCTCGAGAGGGATGATGTACAGTAAGGAGCTCTCGTCCCCTGTCACGGCATGGGAGGGATGTAGTAGGTTGTCAACGTACCTCTCCTGGGGTCACCTTTCCCTGCGGACTGTCTTTCAGGCTGTGGAGGAGAAGGCAGAGGAGCTGAGGAAGGAGAAGAAGCAAGGAGGCAACGTCGGGCCCTGGCTCAAGTCACTCTCTGCCTTCGGGGCAAGGTTGCGATGGCGATCGCACTTCATGCAGAAGCTCTACGACGAGCCTTCGATTGAGGACGTGAACATGTGCCGAGCATACGACCAGCTGTATGAAGGGACTTTCGATGAAGCAAGATTCTCAGCTTGGGTCGAGGGCCGGACTGGCTACCCAATGGTGGACGCGTGCATGCGAGCGCTGCACGCTAGCGGGTGGATCAACTTCAGGATGCGGGCGATGCTGGTCTCGTTTGCTTGCTACTTCCTGTGGCTGGACTGGCGGAGGCTGACGCCTGCTATGGCGAGGCTGTTCCTTGACTACGAGCCCGGCATTCACTTCCCTCAGTTCCAGATGCAGGCGGGGACGACGGGGATCAACGCCAACCGCATCTACTCCCCTGCGAAGCAGGTGATGGACCACGACCCTCACGGAGTCTTCATCCGCAAGTACGTCCCCGAGCTCGAGATGGTACCGGACAAGTTCATCGCCGAGCCCGACAAGATGCCTGAGGCCCTCCAGAAGGCCATCGGCTGTGAGATCGGAAAGGACTATCCTGCTCCCATCGTCGACTACAAGGCCTCGTATGCAGAAGCGAGGAGGAAGCTGGCGACCATTCGGAGCGTCAGAGCAGCACCGAGCAAACGAGCCAAGACGGCAAAGGCAAGTTCTGCGGACAGAGGAGAGGTGGGAGTGGAAGGCCAGGAGGTCGAGGTCGTCCTGTTCCGCTGCAAAACGGAAGAATTGGAACGGATTCCTGTGAGAATGGAGGTCGGAGACAAAGCGAAAGATTTGCGTCAGAGAATCGGTGAAGGACTTTGTGCGTGATTGTATCGTGACTCGTGCTGCTCAGACGCCCGTGTCGCTCCATCGACATGCACATCCATAGCATTTGACGGGAAGAAGCTGCAAGACGGAGATACCATGCTGAACATTCACAGATTGATGAAGACAAGTCAAAGCAAGGTGAGCGCTCTGGCCCGTGAGAACTCGACTGAGTTCTTGCGAGCAGGCTCAATTGGTCGCCGTGATCAAGAGCGATGTGTCACGACAATAGTTTTCTACAAGGATTGCAGCATACGTCCATAGAAGCTGCTCGGTGTCATTGCAATCCCTTCCATCAATCTGCTTCAGTTTGCAACTCACAAGTTCACTCCTCGTCTTTCGATATATACATCCCAACCCGCCTCCAAGAACCTCCTTGTCAGGCTTCGTCTTCTACCCACTCCTGCACTCCTTCATCAATCTCTGCAGACTTTCAATACAATCGCAATGACAAACCTCATAAAGGGTCTTGGCAAGATCTCCTTTGATACGGGGAACAGTAACACCCTATCACAAGAGACATCTCTCAGACAGAAATCCCAACCCACGAGATATCGCAGTTTTACCTTCCTCGCCATGATGTCCTGAACATTTGAGTCTCCCTTTTCCAGCCAATCATTGTACCAGCCCAAGTTGTCAGCGATTAAGTGTCTCTGTCACGAGTAACAGTTAGCATTCATGGGCGGATGAGCAAGTCCGGTACCGATCCACAGCCTTTGCAGGTTACAATCACGATGCCCTTCTCGTAAGCCAGCTTGGTGAAGGACCGCATCTGCCGAGTCTCGCAGACATTGCAGGTGAAGATCATGCTCATTTTGGGGTGGACGACTCTTCCAATCTCTTGCTTGTCGCCGTTGACCTCCACGTTCACCACGTCCTCCTGTTTGTCTTTCCGTACATCCAACAGCGAATCTTCAAGCTGGTCCATGATGAACTGCTGCACAAAGTTTCCTCCAGTAAGATCCTTGATGGGAGGCAAGATGGGTTGGCGATCGTTCGGAACAGGAGGAATGATGGGGTCATTCCCTTCCTCGTTCTTACCAGCGCATGCTCTCAGAGGAATCTGCCATCCAGTTCGGCATGCTGGCAGTGCCTTGCACGAAGACTGGAATCTTGCGAGGGAGTGAGATGACAGAGGACAGGAGTTCAAGTTGAATGAGAACGCCAGGGATACAGACGATTGGAGGAGTACAGCGATGTAAATCGACTTGAGGACCATCGAGTTCCGAGAAAACCCTTGACTGGACCAGAACTTGAGTTAGTCCCATAAACAGCACAGGGTTCTCAATAATATTCTGTTGCTCAATCACAAATCGACCTTCCCTCTTCTTATTCTATTACAGCCTTCATCCCCAGCGCATTTCGTTAGCAGCATGGCTTCCCTTTCCCATCAAGATGCTCTCTACACTGATCCTTATCCTCCTTTCATTCCTTGACTCACTGTTTCCCGCACAGATGCCCTCCCTTCATCTTCTCCCATTTCCATTCTCTCAAATCTCTCTCCTTCTCCTACACTCTCCTCTCCCATTTCCATTCTCTCAAATCTCTCTCCTCCTACACTCTCCTCTCCCATTTCCATTCTCTCAAATCTCTCTCCTCCTCCTACACTCTCCTCTCCCATTTCCATTCTCTCAAATCTCTCTCCTCCTCCTACACTCTCCTCTCCCATTTCCATTCTCTCAAATCTCTCTCCTTCTCCTACACTCTCCTCTCCCATTTCCTTTCTCTCAATCTCTCTCCTTCTCCTACACTCTCCTCTCCCATTTCCATTCTCTCCTCTCCCTTCTTCATCCTCCCCGCCTTCGTCCCGCTCGTCCGCCATGCCATCCCTGCACAGGTAGTCCGCAACAAATCCCAACTACCACTACCCTTTGCTCACTATGATTACCCCTTTTAAACTAGTAGAAAATGCCGGTAGTTGAAGAGGGTGTATCACCCCACCCCACCCATTTACCTGCAACTAATTTTTTTTTAAAAAAAAACAGGCCCCTTTACAGAAGTTTTTGTTTTCTTGTAAAGGAAAAAAAGAACTATCTGAGACAGGAAAAATGGCACTCAGTTCATTCCTGAGAGATAAGCTGGTGCGAAGACATCAAACAGACTTGATGGAATGAAGAGATTGTAGTAGGTCAAGACTCTCAAGGAACGAAGTCAAAACAAGCGGAATTCTCGAGCCTAAGATAGTCAGAAATGGCCAGGAGGGAAAGAAGGTAGCACAACGATGTCCTAGGAAGGATGCACGAAGATGTCGAAGAAGATGATGAAAGACCGGGACAAAGTGCTGAGTATTCAACACCCAGGGTGTGCGAGGCCAAGTCAATCTTTTACGATGACGTGTTGACGAAAGTCTTGGAGCATGTCCATCCGCTCTGTCTTCTCCCATGTGCATGCTTGAACCGAAGCCTTCACAGGATCGTATCCAGCATCAAGCAGACTGTCACTTACCTTGATGTCGGATCGTTCCTGTGCTCCAACAACGATCTGCCGTGCGAGTGGGGTAGGGCAAGGCTCACCTGGCAGCTGGGCCAAACGAACAACATGATCTCGGACAGGAGCTTGGGGTTGATCCTCTCACATTTCCCTCACGTCAAGCATCTCAGCCTGCGACAATGTCTGCTTGTTCAAGATCCGGATCCCCAGCAGACTGAGAGAGCAGGAGGAGGATTTTTTGACATGCTGGTAGATAAGATGCCTACTTCACTAGCCTCGCTCGACATTTCTTTCTGCCATCTCCTTCAAGGGAGTCGATTCGGCTTGAGACTGCCAGCCAACTTGAGGCACCTGACTGCACGATACCTGGAGTGCGACAGTTTCAAGGATCTGATGCATGCCAGCAGATATCTGTCCCTTGCTTCGTTCGACATCTACGGCAGCCGCTCTAAGCAAAGCATGTACACCTACGACAACGCACTCCTCGATGCGATCTGTACAAAAGGAGACTTGAGGGTCTTGCACGTGGGAAACAGCAAGGTCTTCCAGCATGTTGACGCGCACCTGTTGCAAGTGACGTTGACGAGCTTGAAGCACGTGGTGTCGCTTGACTTGTCTTGGATCGTTGAGAAGACAAGAGGAGATTATCTCATTCATCTCATTGCCAAGAATCTCACCATCCTCGAGGGCCTCGCGCTTGCTGGGCTGACTGTCTCGGATGAATCCCTGCTGCTGCTCTCGCGAGAATGCAGCCGCATCAACCGTCTCCAGCTTGTAAGCTGCGAAGGAGTTTCAAGCAAGGCCCTGTCAGAACTGATGTCGATGGAGAAACTTCTCAGCTTCAACCTGGTCCAGCCCAGCAGCTCGCTGGCTAACGTGTCTGTGCGGAGCATAGCTGGACAGCAGGCGACTTTGACTCTTATTAACGTGTGCCTGGAGGACTTGCGATTCCCAATAGTCGACCAAGTCCAAACCAGTAGGCTGACAATCGTCGGGACCGTTGGGGAGAGGTAACGGAGCGAATGCAATACTTTCCTCCTCTCAATCCCTCTCTCTCCTTCTACGTCTCCCTCTCTCTCTCTCTCTCTCTCTCTCTCTCCCTCTCCCTCTCTCTCTCCCTTTCCCGCTCCCTCCCTCTCCCTCTCCCTCCCTCTCTTCCTCCCTCTCCCTCTCCCTCTCCGTCTTCCTCTCTCCTTGACTCCCTCTCCCTCCCTCTCTCCCTCCCTCTCCCTCTCCCTCTCTCCTTGACTCCCTTTTCATCCTTCAGCCCTGATCCTGTCTTGCAGAAACCAGGAGCTGCTCGCCGCGTTCCTCTCAAGATTCCTCTCCCTCAAGGAGCTATATCTCGAGCTCCAAGGAATCTCTGCTGACGACATCGCTACCATCCTGGCAACGCTTTCGTATCTCTTCCCCTTCTCTTCCAGCCTCCTGCTCACCCTGGCTTCCAGGCTCCCCAATCTCTCGACTCTGGCCCTAGGAGAAATGGGCGAGGAGGGGATGACGGCCCTGGCACACCTGCAGCCGCTGGAGAGTTTGAAATTCCGCATGACCTCTCGCAACTGTGACAGGAGCGTCGTTGAGAGCATGGCAATCATCTACAATCTGAATATGCGGGGTAACGTCTGCCTCTGTGAGATGTTTCACTGCATTGCTGTCTTCCCGTCCCTTGCTCCCCTCTGCTCTCCTTCCACGTCCTCCTCCTAACTTGCCCCATTGTACGCTCCCTCTTCTGCTTGTCTGCCTTGGTCCTCTCTCTGCTATCCCTCTGCTTCTTCTGACGTCAAAAAATTTCTGTTTGCAGGCGTGCAGGGTTCAGATTCGTCTCCTGATACTCTGCTCAATTTGCTCCCACCGGCAACGAGGAAAGTTTACTGGGAGAAAGCTCTTGGGAGAAGTCAGCAAGACGAAGAGCAGACGTTGCTGGAAAGATGTGGGAAGATGCTGGCAAGACATCAGGTGAGATACTTTATGCAGCAAATCTTGATGATGGGAGGAGGTGAAGGAGGAGCGAGGAAGATGGTGATTGAGGGACAGGCAGGCAGGCAGGCAGGCAGGCAGGCAGGGAAGGAGAGCAGGAATGCAAACAGGGACAGGAGGGGGAAAAGGAGGAAACAAGCGTTGGAAATGCTGTTGACTTCGATCGCAGGACACGCTGAAGGTACTTGGGATCGATGACTGCGTGACGGTAGCATGTACAGCCATCGTAGCGAGGTGACGGCGATGCAGTCATGAGCTGACGTCGATGTCGGCTGATGGGACGTGGGGCAGGCTGCTTGACGGAGGGCTGCCAAGGCTGAACGTCCTGGTCCTCGACAACGCCTCTGCCATGTGCCGCAACAAGATAGCTGTGAGGAGCGCGAGAATCGACAGCAAGGATTGACTGAAGGTCGTTGGCAGGAGGCAAGGGACTTTGCTCGCCGATCCTTCATTTTGCACTGGTGAGACTGCTGCAGCACAGTGACAGCCAGTGTCTCCTTGATCACTCCCGCTCCTCCCGCTCCTCACCCGAGTGTCCGCAGGAGAGACGCTGACTTCACCTCCCCGTATGATAGTCAAGAGATCACCACAGCCTTCGGCTACCCGCTCGTCTCACCCAAGTTCTGTGAATAAAATAGTAGAGTTGGAGGTCCCCGGTGATTCATAACTTTTCAATGAGCTGCCTAAGACAATCGTTGAGACCCGGCTGTGACTGAAGCGCGCTCACGGTTCACCGTGCTGGACTTGGCCCGGTCCAGGGCCCGGCCGGCAGTGACGGTCCGACCGTCCGATCGGCGGCCCGGACACTACTAGTGACCGTAATACCGGTACGGTCCCAGTATCCTGGCCGGGCAGTCTCAGTGACTCATCAGTCGCCTCAGAATGGGGACCGCTGGGGGACCGCGGCCCGGCGAACCGTTACACGTGTTCGGGTTTGTAACGTTCACTTGTTTGGGCGCTAGCAATGCGACTTGTCGGCATGACAGTGAAGGCGGCGAATGGAGGGAGGAGAGAGCGAAGAAGCGAATGCGCGAAGAGAGAGTGAGAGGGTGAGGGGAGGATGGAGGATAGCTCGACTGAGGACTGAGGAGGAAGGTGATCTTTTGCTATCAAGTCCTGAGGAGGAGACGGTGGGATAGGTTTGGCTACAATCATGTTGCAAGGACTGCCGATGTCCCGTCAGAGGGATCGGTTGACTTCAAAAATCTCAAACTTGGGAGCAATTGTTGTCATCATGTGTATGGCTGCCTCAAACGTCAAGGTTGGCGCTGTCATGGAACGCAGATCGATGTTGGGATTTCATACCAGCCAAGCTCAGTGCATCGGAAGCAACTCGGGACGGGCGATTTGTTGTAGACAGAAGCTGGGGGGTGGGAGGATCAACGTCATAGCAGGTCTTTGCTGCTTGTAAATTTATGTAAGAGAGGTGATCTTGAAGCAGGGAGAAAGTCGCGCAAGAGGTGCAAACATTCGAGGCATGGTGTTCATGGATTGAAAATGATTTCATGTTTGCAGTGTGCTTGTTTGTCAGGATAGACAAACGTCTTGGGGACAAGACACAAAAGAAAAAGACATACAAGAGGTATTCTGAGATGTCATCTAAGATGTCGACGACGAGGTGCAGCAAAAGTGACATGTTGGGAACAGGGCGACCTGGTCAGAGTGCGTGAAGATGCGGCGAAAATAATGGCGGGAAAGGTGAGGTTTGGCCTATGGTGATGCGAGCGAAGTGAATCTTTCTTTAGGGATGGAACGATATTGTCATGTCGAAAACACTTGGAGAACATGGAGTGGTGAGGATGTTTGCAAGTTTTGACTGTGATGATTTTTTTTCGTGTTGGTTGCCACATTTTCTGTGATGTGAATTAAGTCAAAACAGGTCAAGCTTGTGAGACACGCACCCTCAGTTGATATTGCAATGGTGGAGTTTGAAAGGATTCCGGGATCACGTGAGATCCCGTATGTACCACATGATGCATACTGATTTTTGTGCGTCAACGGTACACAGCTATGTTTGCCTACAGGTTAGAATGTCTAGATGTAATAGCACCTGGAAATTCGCGGGGCTTCATCGAGAACCCTTCTGCTGAGTTGTTGTGGGTTCTTCATTGTTCGTATTGCTGGTTTATATTTAAAAAATTCACAGAGAAGAGGCTGGAAAAGATTTGGCAGAGGAGCTGAAAGACAACATGGCTGCCATTCAAGAGCACATGCAGAAGAAGCGAATTGAGCAAATTGAGCAACGTCTTGCTCAGTTTGATAAACAGAAAGAGACGAAGAATCCAACCGTGGAGAAGAGTCATACATGTATTTGACTTACATACACCTGCCTCTCTGTGACAAGACTAGCAGCCGATCGGAAGGAGAAGGAGAAGAAAAACGAGAAGGAGGAGGAGAAGGAGGAGGAGGAGGAGGAGGACATTTTGGATGAGATTAAGCGAAACGGGTATGGACCGATTAAGTTAGAAAACCTCAGTCCGGGCATGAAGGCATGGTATCATGGTAAATTTTTGACTTGATTGTTCTGAGGATGAACTGAGTTCCTATGCTTTCGCAGGGAGACGGTTCAGTTACCCTCGATTCTTCAAAAAGACACCCAAGGTGGGTTGTTTCCTGTGTAGATGGGATGCAAATGTTGCTGCGATAGATATCAGTTGTTTGCTGACGTGCTTTGATACAGCCATACCTCGAAAGATTGGAGAAAACCGTCGAGGAGTATGAAGCGAAGATGAGAAAGGAAACTAAGAACGAAGGGAGTGGCGTCGCTGACGTCAAAAACAATCTATCGCAAGACAATCATGCGTTTATGAGCACAATCAAGGGTGAGAAGAAGGATGAGGTTGGATCGAAGAAAACGAATGAGTTGAAGCAACCGGAAATGCCGAGAGGCGAAGAGAATTCGCAAGGTTGCACTTTGTACGTGTGATGATACATATGTTGATCGAGTTGTTGCGATTGCCTGCATAAGAATCTTGATCTTTCTTGAGAGAAATTGAAAATATTTTCAGCGGTCTCCTGCTGATTATGAGACTGTTATTCTGAGACAATTATTCTTGAAACGTCGTTTCATCATGTCTGCAAATGTTTTTCAATGGCAGAATACTGAGATCATCCCTCGATTTGACCTTGTCTGCATCGCAATAGATGATGAAGACTTCAAGTTACTCGAAGATACGAAAGAGGAAAGCGAAGAAGATGACCAGGTTTTCTGTCCGTTTTAAAGACCCTACATCGATGTGAAGACTCTGATGTTTCTTTCGATGGAAGTGGGGTTGGCGGTGGTGGTGTTACCTGTTGGTGTTCTATAATGGTTTTGCTCATGATGTGGAGTTCTTAGTGCATGTTCTGAAGTTCAATCCTCCAGAAACCGTTGGGCTCTGAGAGCCAAAAAGGGCTGGAGTATCGAAAGATGTTGAAACAGTACTCCCTCGAACTGGAAAGGAAGGAGAGAGAGGGTCTCATTTCTCCTCCTTCCCCTCCTCCTTCCCCTCCTCCTTCCCCCTCCTCCTTCACTCCTCGCTACGCTTCGTCGTCATCATACGACCCATCCCAAAGGCGACAAAGTTACAAGCAGTGAGTACCGAGACGAGGAAGGAAAGGCGGTGGGAGCAGGGGGAGCAGGAGAAAGCAAGGGATGGGAGAATGATCTCAGCTACTATACTGCATTTGTGGTGACGTTGTATCAGAGATGGCTCGAACAGCAAGACGATCAAGAGGAGCAAGGCAGATCTAGAAGCTTGCCTTCCACCATCGTCGAGGAAAAGACGATTCCGTCTCAAAGAACCGCTGGACAGGTTGTATCGTGTTTGTAGGACACGTTTGCGCTCAGGGTCTTTTGTTTGCCCTGCAATCATGCTGAGCGATGCGAACTGACCCGATGGATGGTCGAGTGATTCGATGTTCAGATACATCACCATCGTGAGGACAGCAGAAGAAGCGAAACGTGTTGTGGAGTATCTCAGCCAACCGCGAATGGGTAAATCGAAAGCGATTGAATATGACGACAATGACGATGATGAATGTGGCGATGGTCACAAGATGATGACATGATTGATCTGATAATGCTGAGGCAATGATGCTGAGATGATGGCAAGACATCGAGTTGTTGTGCAGCCATCACGATGAGAAGCGTTGGGGTGCTGACGTCACTGAATAGAAAAACTTACTTTCGCTTGCGACACGGAGACCATTAACATCGACCCGACTTCAGAGAGTCCAGTAGGGAAGGTACAAGAAAAACACTGCTGTGGTGGATGGGAGCAGGAGCAAGAGCAGGAGCAGGAGGAAGGACCAGGGCGAGGGCGAGGGCAAGAACGAGGAACAGGAGGAGCTGTAGGGAGGGAGAGAGAGCGAATAAGGAACGGGAGGATTGAAAAGACTCTGATTGTCCTACAGGGCGAGGTTGTTTGCTTTTCCCTCTTTGCGGGCCCCGGGGGTGTCAACTTCGCCGATTTCGCGGAGACGGTGGAACTGAAAGAGATCGAAATTTACAAGGGCGGCAAGAAAGCACGATCAAAGTCTGTTAGAGCAGTGAAGAGTACACGATTATGGGTTGACACGACTGGAGATGAAGGGAGAAAGGTAAGACGTGAACGAAATATCAGACGATTGTTGTGCTTGACAACATCTAGATCCTGGAAGTTTTTAAAGAATGGTTTGGCGATGATAGGTTCAAGAAGGTGATTAATTTCGATCTTCTTGCCTCCGACCGCAATCTTGCAATCATGTTTTTGCTCATTTTTTGGAAGTTTCCTTGCTTGCTCCAATAATCTTTCTGCAGATTTTTCACAACTGGAGTTTTGATGGACATCTCCTTGCAAATCACGGGATTGAAGTGGGCGGATTCAAAGGCAAGATGAAAATTAGATCCTTGGACATCGATGTCGTCGAAGTAGACGCTGATGTTGACTCTGATGTTATTGTTACTGTGCAAATGTCATGCCGTGTGTTAGATCCACGATGAAGTTTCTGGGACATGCACGTTCCGCTTTCCTCACATGCTCTGAGCAGGTGATACAGTTCACATGGCCAGGTTGTGGGACACAAGCAGGCAAGGCAGAGGAGGATACAAGCTGTCAAGCCTCATGCAGGACCTGCTGGGTTGGGGCAAAACAGACATGAAAGAGGTGAATCTGTAGCGTGTAGTTGAAAGAGCAGGGAGGGAGGAGGAGGAGGAGGAGGAGGAGGAAGAGGAGGAGCAGCAGCATCAGCAGCAGAAGCGGCGGCGGCTGTGGCGGCAGCAGCAGCAGCAGCATGAGGAGAATTTTGGGGAGAAGGGTAGCAGAAGGGACGTTGGGAAATTAAAGGATGGGGTGCAAGGGAGGGAGGGGGAGGGAGGGGGACTGTGCTGCAGCGATACAGCAACAATGACACGTCCTTTGAAGGTTTTCGGCCGTTTCAAGCTGAAGAAAGACGGGACCCCCGGCAAAGTCGTTTACCTTCCGGACTCGTTGACCCTGCAGGTAGCGCAATCGCATGCATAAGTTATACTTATGAGGACATGTTTCTTGCGTCATCGCAGACAGATCCGAACGTGACCATGTTCGAAAAGTGGATCCACTACTCTACCTACGACACGATCTGCACGTGGTATCTCTATTTCTCCCTCCGGAAGGAGCTGGAAAACATGTCGTGGAGCCCCGATGCGATCGTGTACGAGAACGAGTTGTTGAAGATGAGGGGTGAGAAAATTTTCAACTGTGTAGCCAGTGGGTCTGACATTTCGATTCCTCCGTCCCTCTCATTTCCTCCTTCACTCCCTCCGACGTACTCCCTTGCTCATTTCCCCTTTTCTCTCTCTCGATGCCTACCTCCTACTCTGTCCCTGTTCGTCTGTACTCGACTCCCCCCTCCCCCTCTCCCCCCTTGAACTCGCTTCCCTGCTCTTGCTCGACCTTGGCAGCTGATCGGACGCTCTTCACTTTCTATGACTGCTTCTGGAGGCCTTTTGGACAGATCCTGACGGACATGGAAAGGAAGGGAATGTACATCGACAAAGACTATCTGTATCAGCAGGCTGAGAAGGCCCAGGAGGACAAAGAGAAGAGGACCGAGTCGTTCATGCAGTGGGTTCGCTCCCTATGCCCCGACGGGAAGTATATCAACATCAACAGCAACCCACAGAAACGACACCTCCTCTTCTCCAGCATCACTGTAAGTTCCTCCTCCCTTCCCTCCCATCCCTCCCTTCCTTTCCTTCTCCTTCCCCTCCCCTCCCTTCCCTCCCTCCTCACACCTGACGGTGGAGCAGGTAAGGATCGTGTCCTCGCATCCTGTCAGAGACAAGGACATGCGCCTGACCTTCAAGCCGGACGACGTCGTCGAGCTCGCCTACAGGGATGGAGAGAAGCTCATCCGCCAAGGGCTGGCGGTGGAGGAGGAGCCTGATGACGCTGGTTCCCGCGAGCCGCACATGAGAACGTTCCAGGTTGACAACAAGGTGGAGGAGGAGGAAGAGAGGGAGGAGGAGGAGGGAGAGGAGGGAGAGGTGCTGTTTCTGTCTCCTCCTCGTTCCAAAAGAAGCATCTCCCTCCTCGGCCTCGCCCTCACCCCCGTTGCTTACACGGCGACCGGACAAGCGTCTACGGCTGGTGCTCCTCACTCTCCCTCTCCCTCTGCCAGTCCTTTCCGACTACGACTACCTATTTTTACTCTCTCCTCCTCCTCCTCCTCTTCCTCTTCCTTCTCCTTCTCTCACACCTTCGATCATCCTCTCTCTCCATTTCCTTAGCCCGTATTCCACTCCCCCCCCCTTGCCTGCCTGCCTGCCTCGTGCCTCCTCCTCCTCCTCCTCCTCCTCCTCCTCCTCCTCCTCCTCCTCCTCCTCCTCCTCCTCCTGTTCAACCACATCCCCCGCCATGACCTCGATCGCAGGCCAAGTGATCCAGAAGCTCGCCGGGAAGCCTTTCGCCTCTCCTCCCTCCTACGGCACAGCGTTCAAAGACCTCGGAGGAGGAGAGGAGGGCAAGGCTGCGTGCGAGGCGCTGGCTAGCCTGCTGGAAGGGGAGGCGATCGAGAAACTGCTGAGCACCTTCCTCCTCCCACTGCCGGAGCAGACGGACGAGGCGAGCAGGATACACACTTCCCTGAACATCAACACAGAGACTGGGAGGCTGTCGTCGCAGCGCCCCAACCTGCAGAACCAGCCGGCGCTAGAGAAGGATGTGTACAGGATGAGGAAGGCGTTTTCCGCTCCTCCGGGGAGGAAGCTGATCATAGTGGACTACGGGCAGCTGGAGCTGAGAATCATGGCACAGATGACGGGCTGCCGGAGTATGCTAGACGCGTTTGAGCAAGGAGGAGACTTTCACTCGAGGACAGCGATCGACATGTACCGCTACATCGCTGAAGCTGTGGAGAGGAAGGAGGTGCTGCTGGAGTGGAACTCGCACGACGGGGCTCCACCAGCGCCGATGCTCAAGGACAAGTTTGCGTCTGAGAGGAGGAAGGCCAAGACCCTCAACTTCGGCATCGCGTACGGGATGACGAAGATGAAGGTGGCGAGGGACTGGGGGGTGTCGCTTGAGGAGGCGGAGGAGACTATCCAGACATGGTACTCAGCACGAAAGGAGGTGAAGCAGTGGCAGGAGGAGGTGATCGAGCGAGCAAGGAGGACCGGGTATACGGAGACGTTCCTGGGGAGGAGGAGGTACCTGCCCGAGATCAACGGCAGGGACGGGGTCGGCCGGGGGCATGCGGAGCGAGCAGCGATCAATACGCCGATCCAGGGAGGAGCAGCAGATATCGTGATGATGGCGATGCTGAAGCTGCGCGGGGAGGAGAGGATCAGGAGGCTGGGATGGAGGATGGTGATGCAGATTCATGACGAGATCATCCTGGAAGGGCCCGAGGAGACGGCGGAAGAAGTTTTCCCCCTGGTGCGAGCATGCATGGAGCAGCCGTTCGACTCGCCGCTGAGCGTTGAGCTGCCAGTGGATGGGAGCATAGCAGACAACTGGTATGAAGGGAAGTGAGGGAGGAGGAGGAGGAGGAGGAGGAGGATGAGGGAGAAGAGAGCAGCAGCATTAACAGCAGCGGCAGAATGACGTAAAAGTTAGTGATGATCATGATGAGCCGGAGGACCCGGTGGAAGAGGTGAGGAAGAGCAGGAGAGGAGGAGGAAGAGGACGACGACGACGATTAGGAGGAGGAGGAGGATGAGGAGGATGAGGAAGAGGAGGAACGATGACAGGAAGAGCAGGAAGAAGAGGAGAGGAGTTGTCGTATAATATGTCTTCATTCACTTCACAAAGTCACGAGTAAACATCACAAACGTTAGGGGCAACGACAGATGAGACTATCTACACTTGCTGGAAAAAAATTACATGAAACGAGCTTGTCATGGTTAGTGTTGAAAACCTCCCCTGATGCGCGAACCTCGGGGTCCTCCTCCTCCTCCTCCTCCTCAGCTTCCCGCTCCTCCTTGGTCTGTTTTGACTGCCATGAGCGGCTGACAGCATCGCTCTCAGTCTTCATCCCCATCAGCACTTGACGCGTGCCGGTTATCCATCCTCCTCCTCCTCCTCCTCCTTCCAAGACGTCCGGTACCCGCTCTTGTCCAAGTTCCGGTCCCCATCCCAGTCCGCCGCGCTTCTCTTCTTCCTCCTGCTCCTCCTGCCATCATCTTGTATCCTGACCTTCGTCCACCACCTCCCCTTCAACCATGGTAGTTCGCATACCCATCATAGGCATACACAGGATACTGATAGGGATAGTAGTACCGGTTATCAACCGCAGGGGGCATGTCGTACCCCTCCTCCGGCTCGTAGTACCCGTACCCGTCCTCCATCCTCGCCATCCCATCCTCCTCCGGCATCCCAGCAAACCACCCGTAGTCGTAGGAGTGACCGTAGTACTCCTCGGGGACGTACTCGGGGAGGAAGGAGGTGGGGAGGGGAGGGGAGAGGTACCTAGTGGTACTGTCCATCCTGGCCCTCGCCCTCCCCTCCTGCGAGCAGCCCAGCCCGTCTAGCAGGAGCTCGTCCTCAGCAACTTGCCGCAGCTCCTCCTCGTACATGACCTTCGACTCTGATATCACGCTCTCTATCCTGTGCAGCAACTCGTTGACTGTGTTCTCATGCCTGTCCAGCTGTGCATGCGCTGTCCTCCTCCTATGGTTCCAGTCCTCCGCTGCCCTCCTCCTCCTCCTCCCCTCCCTCGCGCGCGCGAGGGTCTTGAAAAGCTGCACGGCCCGCGCCTCCCTCCTGTTCTGCAGCTCCTCCTTCGCCCTCTCCGACTGATCCTCCTCCACTTCCTCCGCCCGCACCGCCGCCTGCTCCCACCCGGCTGCCTCCGGCTCCTGCTGCTTCCCCGCTACATGTTCCTCATACACATCGTCTTCAATGATCTCGTTCTCCTCCAGGTCACTTTCCCGCTCTCCCCTCTCCTCCTCCTCCACGTACGCCTGCTGGTACGGAGCTGGGTAGCCATAGTGCTGCTCGTATGCCCCGAGATCGTACTCCTCCTCCCCATGCTGCATGTAGTACGTGTCCTCCACTCTCCCTTCTTCCTCCTCGTCCACCCTCGAGCTATCTCGGAGACGCTGTGTGATCTCGTCTCTGAACCTTTGCTCGATGCTCGCGTTCTCCTCCTCAGTGAAATCCCCGTACATATCCGAGGAGGAAGCAGCAGACCTGACTCTGTGCAGATCCTGCTTCCTCCTCACCTGCTGCTCCAGCACAGCCGCTTGCTGGTACTGCTGGTGCTGGTGCTGCTCGCCGAACTCCTCCACTTGCCCTGTGGCAGAGAAGCTCTGAACGCTCGGGTCAGGGTAGGCAGCGGCATCGTCGATCTCCACAGCAAACTCTCGCACATCCAATGTGTCGTACTTGCCAACTGGATCGTACTCATACGCTCCAGCTCCAGCTCCAGCTCCAGCTCCAGCAGATGCCAAGTACTCCTCGTCCTCCTCCTCCAGCAGGTACTTGTCAAGGTCCACGTCGTTCATGTCAGACAGCTGCACATCGTCGTCCTCCCCCAGCTCCTCTCCCAGCATCTCCCCAGCATAGTCGTCGTACTGATGTCTGATGGCTGATAGCGACTCTCCAACATCAAACTGGTCCTGCAGGTACTCCCCACCACCCAGCCCAGCTGCTACTTCACCTCCAAGCCCAGCCATCGGGACGTCCACAAACGCCTCGTCGTACCCTGACAGCGGCTCGTCTCTGCCCAGCAGCTCGTCCACGTGCTGGAACGCCTGCAGACCCGGGTCGTCGAAGGGGGGAGAAATGTGGAAGTCGGCGGTGAGAGCGTCGTCCCCGTACCCCAGCGCCGTCCCCTCTCCACCTCCCACGTGTTCTTCCTCCTCCTCCTCTCCTCCCTCTCCATCGTACACATCGTAGAACACCTGGTGTCCGGACATGATGCTGAACTGCATGACTTTCTTCTCCTCCTCAGCGATCTTGTAGTCGAATCTCCTCTTCTGCTCTCTGCTCAGCTCCTTCCTTCTCACCGTCTCTCCCGCCGTCCACATCCTCCTCGCCCTCTCCCTCGACGCCGACGCAAGCTTGTTCGCTACCAGCCTGATCGCTTCCAGCTTCCTCTTCGCCTCCTTCACCCTCTGCGCCGCATCCTCTGACGCCGGCCCCTCATCGCGCAAGTTCATCACCGAGGCAAGCAGGAGCTCAGCATCGCTCGTCATCGACTTTGGGTAGGAGGGGGAACGAGCAGCCAGCAGGGCCTCTACGTCCTCTATCTCACTCTCCGGCATGCTGTCCTCGCGCAGGACGGCGGCAGCGGCGGAAGCAGCAGCAGCGGCAGCGGCAGCTCCCTGCTTGCTTTTCTTCTTGAGCAGAGCCTGCTCCCAGTCCGGTGAAGAGCTGCTCATGCTCAAGTCCTCTGCGGAAACATCGTCTGCTCGACCTGCTGCCAACTGTGAGGAGGAAGAAGAGGGGAGGGGATTGTTGAGAAGGAGGAGTGAGGGAGTAGCAAGCAACAGAGAGGGAGAGGGAGAGAGGGAGAGGGAGAGAGAGAGAGAGAGGGAGAGAGAGAGAGAGAGAGAGAGAGAGAGAGAGAGGATGTTGTTGAGAAGGAGGAGGGAGGGAGTGGTGAGAAACAGAGAGCGAGTGAGATGAGGAGGAGCGAAGACGAGAAACGGAGGGAGACGCGGAGGATGAAAAAGCCACTGACCTTGCGCGTGTTCCGGAACGAGCAAAGTCTGCAACAAGTAGGAAGAAAAGAAAAGACAAGTCAGCAAGGGAAGTTGTAAGCAAACATATCATAACATGGAGCAAGATGAAGAAAACGCCGTCAAACACAGGACAACATGTCAAAAACACAAACAACAAACACGCCTCTATCAAGTCACAGCATCACATGCTCTACCTTGACAGCTGAGAGTGTGTTTGACAGCATCCTGTCTCTCCCCTTCTTCCTCTCCTCGTCCTGCTCTCCCTCCTCCTCCTCCTCCTCCGGCTTGATCGAGGCACTGTCGCGAGGAGAATGCAGCATCATCACATTATTCCCTCCCGTTTTGAACCCGTCATCGTCCACAGCAAACTCACGGGACAGCACCCACTGCGATGAGAGTGAGGAGAGAGGAAGGAGAAGGAAGAGAAAAGAGGAGGAGAAACAGGAGGAGGAGAAGTGCAGAGACAAGGAGGACGACGAAAAGAGAGAAAGAGGAAAAGATGAGAGAGGAGGAGGGGAGGAGAGGATAGAGGAGGAGAAGAACAAACGAGGAATGAAGTAAAATTATCTCACTCTGTCATCCTCGAGGAACTTGAAACAATGCTTCCCTGCTGGCAACCACACCTGTCACACGCTGTTAGAGAACTACTAGTCTCCTCCTCCTCCTTTCTCATCTCTCCTCCTCTTCCTCCCTCATCTTGTACTCACGTAGGTCTCCCAGGTATCTCCGTCCACTCTCTCAAGCTCGTGCAATTGCGTCCAGTCAGACCATGAACCAACCTGAAGAGAAAAGTAAGAAAGGATGTGAGGTAAGACAAGACAAGACAAGACAGGAACACAGATGACGATGCAAAGCAAGGAGAGGAAAGGGCTCTTCACTCACCAGGTTGACAGACTTGACGTTTGGAGCACTGTGATATCTGCAAAACATAATCAAAATCAGACAGCACGAGACAAACAAAAACATCGACAAAACATCATTATCATCATCATTGTCAACAACAACAACAACAACAACAACAACAACAATGATATCAGCATCAAGACACATGATCACCACTGTCAATCATTCAACAAACTCTCACCTGATAGGAACGAGAGAGATCGCTCCTGTCCAGCTGAGCCTCTTTTCCAGGCCCTTGACAAAAAGTTGCTGGAAGGCCTCGATCACCTTCTCCTGTGAGAGTTGCGAGTCGCCAACGATGGACTGACAACAAGATAAGTCCTCCTCCTCCTCCTCCTCCTCCTCCTCTTCCTCCTCCCCCTCCTCGTCTTCGTCCTCGTCCTCGTCCTGCTCCCCTTTCCCCCTGCTTCTTCTTTCTCGTCCTCCTTCTCCCCTTTCCCTTTCCCCTCTTCCTCTCCTCACCTGCAGGTTGACTGTCGGAGCGATCCCAACGGACTTACCGAGATCGTTTCGGTTCTCCTGTAGAGCAAAAAGAATCAGGAAGAACGAAACGGCTGGAGTATCAGGGAGGAGAGAGGAGGGAGGAGAAGAGAGTAAGGAGGAAGAGAGAGGAGGGAGAAGGAGATGAGGGAGGAGAGAAGGGAGGAGACCCAGGAGGAGGAGGAGGAAGAGGAAGGGGAGGAGGAGGATAGAGAGGAGGAGGAGGAAGATGGAGAGGAGGAGGCGGCGCTGGCCACAGCGCTAGCTCACCATGGGCGTTGGCATTGCGATGACTTGACCGAGCTTCTCCGAAACGTCTGCGCTGATTGAGGCAGCGAGCAGAAAGGATCTGTCAAGGCTGTTGGCGTTGGCCCTCCTGTTCCTCTCGCTCGTCTCGTCGATCTGCTTCAGCCCGTACAGGGGAGCGCCGGCAACTAGGATGTTGTTGCCTGCTCGCAGAGTGAGAGGGGAAGGAGGAGAGAAGAGGGAAATGAGGGGAGAGGAGGGGACGAAGGAAGGTGTGAGAGGAGAGGAGAGGAGAGGACAGGAGAGGAGAGGAGAGGAGAGGAGAGGAGAGGTTTTCACCGCATGTTTTCATTCCATCATCCACTCTTGGCCAGTCGGGGGAAGCGATCCACTTATCAAGACATCAGAAAGAGAATCGCAAGAGGAGAGGGAGGGAAGAGAAGCGAAAGGAGGAGGTTGTAGGGAGGGAAGAGAAGCGAAAGGAGGAGGTTGTAGAGACTGACCTTGCCGTCTACCACGAACTTGAAGGCATGGAATCCTACAGGCAGCCGAAGCTGAAAGAAGCTTGTCAGAAGGAAAGGAGGAGAGAGGAACAAGGAGGAGGAAGAGGAAGAAATAGTACTGTTTTTACCTCAGCTCCCCATACATATTGCCCGTTCTTCTTGAGAATCTTTTTCATTGTAGTCTGCAGGATTCATATCAGACGGCAAGAACAAGAGAAGGAGGAGGAGGAGGAGGAGGAGGAGGCGACAAGTGAATGAACATGTAAAGACAGCATTTCATAGTGAAGGAATCGGACAAGTGAAGAGAGAAGTTGATAGTGGAGAGAGAGAGATACAGGGGGAGATTTTCCAAGAGAGCTGGCGAATGACGAAGAAGGTGTTTGGGAACAGTGCAGCACAACTCACCTGCTCTGCCCACTTGGACCAGGAGCCCGCAATGTTGACCTGAAGGGAAGAACATCGATCAGTCATTACCAAGAGGCATCCAGCAAACAAACAAGAGGATGAGGAGGAAGAGGAGGAGGAGGAAGAGGAGGAGGAGGAGGAGGAGGAGGAGGGTACCTGATGTGCTGACTCTCCACCCTTGAACTCAACCCAAACTTTCACCATCTGCCCTCCTTTTCGGCACCTGACCAATTCAGTTCAGCACATGGCAAGGCTCCAACGGCTGCCGCTACCTCTCCTTGCTCTCCCTCATGTACTTCTGAACGAGCTTGAGCGTCTTCACATTCAGCATCTCCTAGAAGCGCCAAGGGCGTCAGCCTCCTCCACAACAAAATAGCTCCTTTTCTGTCTCACCACGTACTCCTGGTTCATCACGACCTTGCACTGCTGCCCCTTCTTCTGAACCTCCAGGTCGCCTCTCCTCTCTCTCGTTGCAATGTGTGCTTCTCCTCCCCGCAGACGCTCCACCATCGGCCTCCTTGACGTCCACATGACCTTCTTGTTGTATCCTGACCATGCTGGCCCGTGCTCGGCTGCATGAGCGCAGCACTGGACCAGACATGCGACGAAGAGGATCCTCCCGCTGTCGAATCTCATCTTGTTCGTCCTGTCCTTGCTTCCTTGTTCTTGGATCTGAACCCCTCGGGAGCTGGTCTTGCACGGGCCAAAGGGATGCAGGAAAGTTCCTTCTCGTCCAAAGTCAGCAGCGTTACCGAACGATACAGAAAAGGAAGGGATAAACTTTCAGAATACTAGAAGAAAGTTTGAGATAGTTTCTACATACAAACACAGCCTTTGGCCTTTCACTTATGCACTTATGAGACATCTGCTTTCAAACTTGCGGAATGGAACGAACAAAGTTTTCGAAATTTTGAAAAACACTCGCTATATGAAACACATGGTAGGCTTTCCTCCAGTTTGGTCATATCATTTGTCACGCACAACGAATGTCTTCATCTTCGACGTCTCATCGCTCCTCGTCAACAAATAATACGCTGCCTACATGCCCTACAAAGAAAAGGGGAACACATATTTGAGATATTCGTTGACTATCCTCCTGACCTTCTGTCGCACCCTGCAGCATTCTTCTTCCTCCTGTTATCAATCATGGTTCAACCCATGCTCTGCCTCTCCTCCTCCTCTCTTCTCCCCCTCCCATCTTCGGCATCGGCATCCACGATAGCGCTCCCCCTGCCCATGGATCTCCCTATTCGCCCTTATCCCTGACACCCCCAACCCCAGCCAAAAGACCCCTAACCCCTTATTAAGATACCCCACCTACTCAATTACCACAAAAAACATAGCGTCGTACCCTCTGATAGACACAGTTTTGACCTCCCTTGGCAATTACACCCCCAAATTTAGTACCCCCACCGCCTCTGATCGATCGGGTCCTTTGTACCTTTCACCCCACCCTGATTATCTGAGATGACAATACCCCCAGGTCTTGTTTTACCCTAGAGGGACTCTTTTTACAACTCACTACCCCTACTTTTCACTACACCCCACCCCCTAATCAGTCTTGGCATCCAGCCCGTTCACTCCATGGACAGCCCTACCCCCACATCTCCCAAAAAACCCTCCACCCCACTTTCAAGTACCCTATGAACTTCTGGGACTACCCACCTCAATAATGAAAAGTACCCCATTATTATGACAATACTTTGTACCCCCACCCCACCACAAATCTCATTCCCATTTGTGTCAACAGTACCCCTGCTATGGACAGCATGACCCAACCACCCTACCAACTGTGAACCTCCGGAGATATACCCCGAATCACCACCCTACATTTAAACACCCCACCCCCCCTGTGCTATCTCGCCCCCTTCTTTCCCCTCATACTTTCCTTCCCTTCTGTTTTACAGCAAACTTCCCGAGAAAACTTGAAAAAGAAAATTCCCGGGCCGCCGGGCCGCCGGGTCCGAGTCCTTGCCGATGGCCTGAGACTGAAGTTTAACAAATCTTTTGATCAATCATGGCAGGACGAGGAGGCCTTTGAATCAATTCCGAGTCACCGCGGGTCACTGTTCGAGCAAGTTGGCCCGGGCGGCGGGCGGCCGGGGCGCTGGCCGGGCGGGCCAGGAGCTTAACGATTAAGACTCGGGAGCGGCTGAGCTGCCTTCCTTGAATCAAACTTAGAAACTTAGCATCCGTCACGGTGGACTTGCTCATTAAAGTTTACTTGCTGGTTTCAACAAGCGCGGCCCTGCGCGCGGCGGCTGCTACTCACTGCGGGAGGTGTCCGACTGAGTCTATGCCCCCTGTCGCCTCCTCCTCACTCTACTGAGATGTTCTGAAGCCCTGCAGCCGCTTCCTCCACCTCCTCGTCGGAGTCCTCCCCGTCGTCGAAGTCGTACTCGATGAGAATATACTGGGCCTCGGGGGGGGTGTTGTACTGCCATTCCTCGCAGATCTGAAGCCCTGCAGCCTCCTCGTCGTCCAGGTCGTACTCGATGAGAAGCGCCTGGGCCTCGGGGAGGGTGTTGTGCTGCCATTTCTCGCACTTCTCCTTCAGGTTCAGCCAGTCAGGAGGGCAGGTGCCCTCCCTCCTCCTCCTCCTGTACTCCTCCAGCAGCAGCCGCAGCACGGGGAAGCCTTGCTGCACGTCGCGATCATAGATCTGAGCGTAGTTGATGCTGGTCGACTGCTGCCCTCCTCGTCGCACGAAGATGTCCGCTCCCTCCTCGATCAGCATGCGAACCATCGCGACGTCGCTCCTGTACACGGCATAAAGCAGCGGCGTCATGCTGTCGATGTTTGCCATCGCTGCGTTCCTCCTCCCATCGAAGTGATCGTTAACAGGGCTCGGCCCTCTTGCTGTCCTCAGGAACCTCCGCACCTCTTCCACGTCTCCGGCCTGCAGGGCAGAGACTGGCGTGTGAGCTGAGCCCAAGCTGAGAAGCAGCTGGACTGTGTCCGTCAGCAGAAACTTCGCGGCGATCTCGATCAGGCGGCAGCCGACGAGCCTGAGGTCTTCGTCCGGTCGAGCAGCTGAGAGGGGATGCGGGCCTCGCCGGCCCCCGATGAAGGCGCTCTCCGGACATCTTTCAGTGAGTAAGCGAGGATGCCTACGGGCCCTCTCCCCCAGCTGCTCCCGAGCTGCCTCGCTGCCGGACAAGACCGCCAGCACGAACGCGTCCAGCTCTATCCCTGCCGCTCGGTAGTGGGGGAGAAGGGCCTCTACCACGTCAAACCTGCGGTACAGAGCCGCGGCGACGACAGGGAGGACAGGGAACCCGTTCCTGCTGTTAAGACGCGGCGAGTTGAGGATCTTGTCTACTCGCAAGGGCTGGCGGAGGAGGCTCGAGTCCTCTCGGAGCAGCTGCTCGATCCGATCGATCTCGCCGCACTGTATCGCCTCCTCCCAGCCCGGCTGCAACGGTACAAACGCCTCCATCATGCGCTCGAAGTCCTCGGGGTCCGAGTCGGGGCAGTCAAGTCGTCTGCCCTCCTTTCGGGCGCAGGATCTTTGACGAGCTCGGTGTCGGTGGTACCTTGGAGGCGCCTGACGTCTCCTCTCCACATCTCCTTCTTGGGGCGATCGATCGGCGTCCCATGCTCGTGCGCGACCTTGCCCATCATCAGGCGGAGCACAAGATCTGTAGGCTGACCCGTCGAGTCAAGCCGCAAGGATCCTCGTCCGACTCCGATCCGCCTGTACACGGCTTGCTCGTTGTCGTCGTCGTCGTCGGAGTGGAGGCAGACGACATGGAAGGAGATGTTGTTGCCCTGCTGTAACTTGTTGAGAGGTAGGATGGTGTACTTGTAGCTCGACGACTTGCCTTCGTACTTTGCGTCCCTGTACGTCCAGCGCCCGGCGACCTCCGGCAGGCAGGAGACTGTTACTTGCATCAGCTCCACCAGTCGACCGAACCCAGCGTGCGGGAGGGGAAAGTCTTCCCCCTTTCCGAACTTGACCCATGAACGAGCATCTGCCTCATCTGAACAAAGTCTTCTCTGTATCATCACGTCGGGGCCCACGATGCCTCCCACCGACAGTTTGACTCCCCTTCCCGGTCGTTCATGATGGTCGTTGGTGCTTGCATGAGACATTTCGTCTGCCAGCCTGTGGAGCAACTGGTCGTCCATGTCTCGCCAACGCTCCTCCTTGAAGACTTGGTCATCGCGCTGCCCTCGCTCCACGATTCTCTCCAGTCTCAGCCTCTCCCTCCGAGCTCTGGGAGGCGCCTGCCGCTCAAGCCCGACGACCATGGCGTCGAAGTAGCTCTCCTCATGCGACGCTCCAAGTCTGTGCAGGCCGAACCCTATCTCTGCTCCATCGCCTGAGATGTCCAGAACGCCAGCAAACATGATCTTGTCCTTGTCCTGCACGAACGCGTAGGCCGTGTCGGCTGTAAGCCCGTCAGCTCCATCGGCAGCTCGTAGGAGAGGCCAGAAGCTCGTCAGCTCGTTGCGCCATGCAGTGATGAGCCGCTTGCCGCTCGTGACGACAGTGATGTGATCTGAGACGTACAGGACCGCAGCTGCGAAGTCTCGCCGCCACCCTCGGCGGACAGTCTCCCGGATGAGGTCGAAGTTGATGTCTCGTTCGTGCATGCGCAGAATGACATGATGGGTGAGCTGCTGCTGCAACATGTCAGTTGACATGTGGGAGACATCAGTGAAGGATGTCCTGGACGTGCTGTCTTCTGCCGAGCGCGTGTCCTGCATCACCATCCCGCGATCCGTTTGATAGGACATGCTTGCTCCTTGCAGAGATGTTGAAAGTGCGGGGAAAGGCGAGGATAAAAACGAGGAGGATGGGAGTAGATTGTTGTTCTTGTCGTAGATTTTAGGGATCTACGCAGAGGAAGTGGAAGAGAGGGAGAGCAGGCAGGGGGACGAGAGGAGGAAGAAGATAGTAGGGAGAAAATAGAAGATAAGAGGAGAGATGAAATGTGGCGGGCGAAGAGATGGAAAGTAAGGAAGAGAGGAGATGGAAATACACGCTCACGAGGTAGGAGAGGAGCAGAGGAGGAAAAGAAGAGAAAGGATGAGAAGAGAAGAAAGGAGAGGAGGAGAAGGTAGGAGAAGAGAAGCAGAAAGGAGAAGAGGCGAAGGTAAGAGGAGAGGAGGAGAAGGTAGGAGAAGAGAAGCAGAAAGGAGAAGAGGCGAAGGTAAGAGGAGAGGAGAAGGTAGGAGAAGAGGCGAAGGTAAGAGGAGAGGAGAAGGTAGGAGAAGAGGAGAAGGTAGGAAGAGAGGAGAAGGTAGGAGAAGAGGAGAAGGTAGGAGAAGAGAAGCAGAAAGGAGAAGAGGCGAAGGTAGGAGGAGAGGAGGAGGTAGGAGGAGGAGGAGGTAGGAGGGGAGGAGGTAGGAGGGGAGGAGGTACGAGGAGGTAGGACGAGTTCTCAGCGACTGGTTGCTGGGAAATACAAGTTTGAGTTTCCATGGCACCCGCTGACCTTCGGACTGGGCCGGCCCAGGGCCTGAAAGAACAAGGCAGTAGTGATAGACTACAGAATATCAATCACAATCATAGCAATGCCTAAATCATTTGCTAGTAAATTCAAACGAGGCGGGCTGGCTGTCAGATATATTTGATCGGATATATTTGATGAGGCAGGCTTGTGGTCAAGTGCAGAATGTCGGGGCAGGGCCTGGCAGGTGATGGGAGGGCGGAGGAGGGAAGGGATGGAGGAGAGGGGTGAGGGAGGAGGAGAGGAGAAGGGAGAGGAGAAGGGAGAGGAGAAGGGAGAGGAGAAGGGAGAGGAGAAGGGAGAGGAAGGCGGAAGAAGGAAGGGAGACTGCGTGGAAGATCAGGAAGGAAGGGGGTTGAAGAAGGCGTGCGAGTGGATTGGAGCTGCCAGTGCCTCATCTTCTACGGGAGCATCGTCTACATGCTCCTCGTCCTGCTCGTTTCCACCTTTCAGCTGGGTCCGTTTGCTCCTCCTCCTCTTCCTCCCGTGACCCTGAAGGAGAGAGAGGTCGTAGAAACTGCCACCACTCCAAGGTAACTTGCAGGAAGGCTGGACGTTCGATGCAGCAGCTGATGTTCGTCTTTCAGGTTCGACATCTTCGTTCATCCCTCCAGCGAGGATCGCTACATCTCTCTCTCCCTGCAGCGAGAGGGCATCTGGGAGGACGATGTGCATCGCCGTATGCAGCAGCTGCTGGGGCGGTACAGGGACGGGGCTCTTTTGGACGTAGGAGCCAACATCGGGTTCCACTCGCTGGCGGCAGCGGCAGCGGGTCATGATGTCATAGCAGTCGAACCTGTGAGTTTAGTGATAGAGGAGGGGAGGAGGAGCGTGCAGACAGAGGGAGAAGGGGAGGAGGAGGAGGAGCGAGAGGGAGGAGGAGGAGGAGGGGGGTGAAAGAAAGGAGAGAGGAGACAGGGGGAAGGGGGAGAGGATGGACAGGCAGGGCAAGCAAGGAGGTGTAGAAGACTAGACTAGACGAAGGGGCAGGGGAGGGAGAAAGAGGTTCTGTTGTCCTCGTGTCCGGTGACTTGTGGTGATCCTCCTCTCTTCCCTCCTTGCTCTGTCGTCCTCCTCGGTCCAACTCCGCCTCCTGCTCATCGTTACGCTCTCAGGTGGATCAGAACTGCCTGCTCTTCAACAAGAGCATCATCGCAAACTCGCTGAACAACATCAGACTCCACAAGCTGATCGCGGGCAACGAGAGCGATGCGAGGAAGTGTATGCATGTTTCAGACATCAACAAAGGCCACAGCTTCGTCCGACCTCAGCATCTCCACCATGACATGTGGGTTTCTTTCTTTCTTGTTGCCTGCGATTCCTTGAGATTTGTAGTGACTGTTGTGTGGCGCTGATTTTAGTGTTCGTTGTGAGGTGATGTGTCTTACTACCGCTTTCATACCGTGTCGTTTCTCATTCATAACTTCTCATTCATATCATGCTGTTCTCTTCTGACATATATCTCCCAGGGAGCAGAAACCTCACGGTGTGTCGTTTGTCGATCAGATCGGACATGTTGTATCCCGCATCCTCTCCAGGAGCAGCTCAGAAGCTCCAGCCAGCGTCCTCGAGGACTATCACCACCAGCGACACTCCTTGAATGACTGCGAGTTCCACCAGTCAACAACTCTGGACCAGGTTCTCCGTCAGGACCAAGACATCTCGCAGAGGTTGCTTGTCGCCAAGTTTGACGTTGAAGGCTACGAGCTGCAGTCGCTGGCAGGCATGCGTTCTACTCTGCTCTCCCCGTCCGCTCCCTGCTACCTGCTCGTCGAGCTCTTCCCAAGGCTCCTGGAGCAGCAGAGGACGAGGACGGTGAGGGAGCGCTGGTGCTGAGACTGTTTTAACGTGTGGGAAGGAGGAAGTTGTACGTTTCCTCTCCGAGAAAGGGTATGAGCTACATCCCCTCGGAGGAGAGGAGGAGGAGGATGAGTCGGCTGCTGCTGGAAGGTGAGGGAGGAGGGGGAGGAGGAGGAGGAGGAGGAGGAGGAGGAGGGGAATGACATGTTCGAAGTTACGAAGCGCACGAGGAGTATGAGGAGAGCGAGAAGACGAGAACTTTTGTCTCCATGAGGGATAAGATGACGATGGCAGAGTTCAGGAAGAAGGATCTTAGGACCTGCCTGTCAAGGTTCGAGAGGAGGAAGGAAGGGGAAGAGGAGCCAAGGGAGAAGTTGGAGGGGAGGAGCGGGAGCGAGGGAGGACAGTGACGGTGAGGAGGAGGAGCGGGCGGGAGTTTTAACAGCGCGGATGCACCGAGCTGAGTGTAATGCTTGTTGAGACATTGTGTATAATACAAGGGACTTGATGACAATCGTTGAATACTGAAAATGTACATGAAGTGGGAGGAGAGAAGAGGAGAAAGAAGAAGACTCAGGGAGGGGGGAGGGGAGGAGGGAGGAAGAAGAAACAATTAAGGAGGAAGGAGGAGGAGGGAGGAAAGGAAGTGGAAGGAATGATGTGGAGGAAGAAAACAGGTGGGAGGAGATTGGTAAAGTGGAAGTGGGAGGAGGAAGAGGGAGGAACAGAAGGAGAGGAGAGAAGAAGAGGAGGGAGCAAGTAGGAGGGAGAAGGGAGGAGGGAGGAGGGAGGAGGGAGAAGGGAGAAGGGAGGAGGGAGGAGGGAGGGAATTCCTCGAGCGTTTCAGTTTCGCCTTATGAGGACCAATGAGTGAGCCCCCCCGGCCCACACACGCAACTCGACCCGCCGCTCCTCCTTCCTGCCAGCGTCCTCCTCCTCCTCGCCATCCTCCTCCTCCTCCTCCTCTCCACCCTCTTCCTCCTCCTCCTCCCAGGCACTTTCCAGCTCCCTCGGGTGCAGCACGGGGTCATAACTAGTCACCACCGTGTCCCCCAGCTTGTGAGAAGTCGACGAGTCCAACCCCAGCTGACCGTACCGGTTGTCACCCCACGCCAGCACCTGGACCGGTGGTGGGTAAGACTCAGCTGGGGCAGAGCTGGAATTTCTTTCTCACCTTCCCGCTGGATGTGATAGCGATGGTGTGGTGGTCCCCGCAGGCAAAGGAAACGATTTCCTGCTCCTGCTCCTGCTCCTGCTCCTGCTCCCTGCGCATGCCCTCTACCTCCCTCGCTCGGTACACCTCCTCCCCGATCGCCACGTCGGGCATTCCCAGCTGCAAGGGGAGAGCAGGAGAAGGAAGAGGAAGGTCGAACAACGGAGAGAGAAAATGGGGAAGGGAGGATGAGACAGTCAGATTCGGGAGAGAAACAGAGTTTGCAGCCTCTTTCTCATTTGGTTTGCTGCTATGGAAGTTGAATCTACAATGCTCCTCCTGTTCTGTCTCAATCTCTCGTTATCATCCCTATCCAGTACTCCTGCTCCTGCTCCTGCTCCTGCTCCTGCTCCTGCTCCTGATCTCGCTCCTGCTGCTACCAGCACAACCTTACCTGCCCATGAGAGTTGCATCCCCACGCAAACAAGCATCTTCTCCCCGTCTTCTCGCTCCTCCCTATCGCGACACTGTGGCATACTCCTGCTCTTATCTCAGTTCCTTCTATTTCCCCCTCCCCCTTCACCCCTCCTGCTCTTCCTCCCCCCCCACCGCTTCTTGGTCCTCCAACCTCCTCCCTCCCCTTCCTCTGGTCCTCGCAACCCTCCCCACGATTGCAAACTTCTGCCCATTCCTCCTCCTCTCCACCCCCCCCAACCTTCAACCTCCTCCCTCCTCTCACCGCACTGGATGTCTGTCACATGCTTGTCCAGCAGGGGCTCCACGAGCTGCGGGACAGGCCAGGCAGGGGGGCCTCCTCTGATCCCCGTCCCCAGCAGGCCCCCAGCATTCTTTCCCACCACGAAAACCTTCCCCGACGAGCAGAGGAAGAAAGAGAGCAGCGGTCCTCCCCTCACCTCCTCGCACTCCTCCCCCTTGGGCAGCCACGGCATGACATGCGGCGAGCTGACATTCTGCTGATGCCCCAGCCCGAGCTGGCCGAAGTCGTTCCTCCCCCAGGAGAACACCACCCGCTCCTCTGTCACCGCAAAGCTTGAGCTCCCACCACAGCTCACCCTCACGGCTCCCTTCCCTGCCAGGCTCCTGATCGCTGCTGGCTCCGTCTGATGCCTGCACGTCCTCCTGTATCCCAGCTCTCCTCCTCCCAGCCCCAGCTCGCCATCGAGGTTGCTCCCGCACGCAAACACCGCTGTGCTCTGCTCCTGCACCAGCAGGAGCGTGTGGAAGTCGCCGCAGGCAATCTGTAGGACAGTTCTGTTGAGCAGGAGGGAGACCAAGGCCGGTCTTTCCCTCCTGTCTCCGCATCCTGTGTTAGCTCCGAACGCGTCGGGGCGGTCCTCGATCGTGTTGGATGTCCCGATGCCGAGCTGGCCGCAATGGTTCTCTCCGCAGCCCAACACCTGCGAGTTCATGAGCGATTTGTGTGCGGGTTAGGAAGAAGACGAGAGGAGAGACGAGAAGACGAGGTGGTGGTGGTGGTGGTGGTAGAGGAGGAGGAGGAGGAGGAGGAGGAGGAGGAGGAGATAATGGTGGTGGTGTTGATGATGAAGACGAGGAGGAGGAGGAGGAGGAGGAGGAGGAGGAGGAATTCGACTCCCAATTCCGGGGGGAAGGATAGGGCGTATGGGGTAACAGGACCTGGCCGTCCTCAGTCCTGATCATGGTGAAGTTGCGACCGCAGACGAGCTCAGCAGGCATCTTGTTCTGCAAGAGAGAGGTCAAGTCCGTCGGCCTTGTATGCTCGCTGCCATGGGCGTCGGGGGAAACGTGAAGGAGCTGCCCCTCCTGGTGCAGAGCCATGGTCAGGAGGACAAGGTTTCGCCATCCCATCGCTCACATCATTCTTGCCGAACCCTAGCAAGCGCCATATTCTTCGTCCTCGTCCTCGTCCTCGTCCTCGTCCTCTCCTTCTGCCGTGTCCTCCTGCTCCTCCTGCTCCAGCACTTGCCCTTGCGTCGTGCTGGAGCATGGAATCGGATCAGGACCTGGATGACACCAATAGTTGGGGTTAGTAGAGAAATGGGTGGGTGGTACTTGGTAAATTGGTGGTCATGTACCATATGAAAACACGATTGAGTATGGGGTGGGTAGTGAATGGCGGGGGTGGGGTGATAGGAAAAGTTTCGACGATGCAGGAGAGGAGGGAGGGAGGGGAGCGCAAGGAGCCGAAGAGGGAGAAGGAGGTGCAGGAGATGTAGCTCATGGTGGAAGTAGACATGCCATGATCACAGGACAACGTAGGACATGGTTCAATGATGAGCACGAGAGCAGACTGAGAGGAATTCTGTTGAGAAGCGATTGAAGGATCATGGTAGAGGAGGGCAGGGGAGGAAGGGGCAGGAGAGGATGATGAAGATAAGAGAAGAAGATGTAAGGTGTGATAAGAGGAAGCTGATTGCAATCGACAGTGGTGAAGTAGCGTGAGGGCCCAGCCTGGCGGAGGGGATGAAGGGTGAAGGAGAGAGTGGAGGAGGGAGCCTGGTTGAATCGTGACCAGATGAGGTGTAGCGTGAGAGAAGGAGAGGGGGTAGCTCGTCGAGACATTCCTGACCTGAAGATGCAGGATGTCAGGCGAAGCAGGGAAACGTCCCCCCCCTCCTTCTCCCCTGGAACGAAGCAACAGCGTGGGGCAGATACAAGCCAAGAGGCCTGCGTCGGGAGCAGCTCCTCCTGCTTCGGGGAACGCCGTGACGGTAGCAGCGCTAGCAGCTCAGATGCAGGACGCAAAGAGAACGAGAGATCATCAGAACCAGAGGCAGACTGCGATGCAAGTACGTGGACGTGTCCAACTTTGCGCCTCCTCTTGTCCTGTGCCGTGTCGCTGTGTGTTTCTTGCTCTGGGCATGTGGATATGCCGAAATCTCTTCGAGCCTCTTCTCTCTCGTTCGCTCCCCTTCCTCCTTCTCCCCCTCCTCCCTGTCCTCCTCCTCCTCCTCCTCCTCCTCGTCTTCCTCCCCCTCCTCCCCCGCCCCCCGCCCCTCCTCCTCCTCCTCCTTCTCCTTCCTTCCCCCCTATCATCTCATGACGAGATGGGCTGTGCGCATACACTGACTTCCCCTTCCTCTGCAGGCGATGAATGCCAAGAAATGCACGCTCTATGTGAGATGTTGAGTTTGCTGTTCCAGCCACTGACACTGTCATGCAGGAAATGTACAACTTCAATGGGTTTGATAATGTACAGATTGTTCCTTGCTTGCCATCAGCGAAGCCCAAAGAGCAAGTCCAGAAATGATATCTATCTGTAAATGTACAAGTAAAACAACATACAATGATGCGAGGCGATGTGCAGGAGGAGGAGGAGGAGGAGGACAAAAAATGGTGGCGATGGTGGTGATCGAGGTTGGTGGGAAGGGAACAGGAAGGATTTTTGGTGGTGGAACACGGTACTTGTACAGTTATTCAATCATCGAATCAAGAAACCGAAGGGCTTCCCGTTAAGTTAGCAATCAAGCATAATTTGAGTCAGTGTCCTTTGCGCTCGCTATCGTACATATTCAGATATTTTTCCTTCGATCAATACTGCAGAACAACAACAGGTGTCAGTGGAACAGAGACAGCAAGGTTAGAAGGGAGGGAGACAAGACTCACGTAATATCCCTGCACTTCCACTGTTGCACAAGATTGATGTCAGTCCACGTTCCAACAGGCAGGGCCAGCAAAAGTCACCTTCACTTCCATCGTCTATCCTCAGAGTGATCTCGTGCGTAGCAGTCTGGTCCGGCTCCCGGTCCGGTACCACCTGCGAGGGGACGCGTTAGATCCCGGCGGCGCTGCAACGACACTCGTTGACAACAGGCGACGCAGGCAAGAGCTTGCAGGGGGGGGGGGGGGGAGAGGAGGTTCAAGAGCAGGAGAAGCGAGGAAGGAGGACGAAGGAGACAGGCGAGTATGACTGTAGCTGATCCCATCGGGGACAGCCACGTCAGCACAGCACACAGCAACTCCCCGCACACCCTCCACATCGATCAGACCGGCTGCACAATGTAGTCCAGCTGCACTCCAACAGCCGTGGAGAGCCTCCGTATCCGATTCGTCCCGTATCCCCTGACCTCTTGACCTTCCCCTACGCCTCCCTGCGGATCCTCCGTCCCTTCCCCGGCTTCTGCGGGATGAAATTCGAGGACTTGGCTGTGCTCCTCTTGCTGCCCTCCCTCGGCACCCTCCTGCACGTGATCGGAGGACCTTCGATTGCGGGAGACTCGCCGAGCCTGCTCGTGGCCATCAACGGGTGGAACAGCAGGGATTCAGAGCGGAGGGTGTGAAGAAGGAAGTGGTGGAGCAAGATAGGATGGGATGGACGAACCCAGAGGTAGACAAGGAGGAAGAGGACGGGGGAGTGGGAGTGGGACAAGCTCGAGAGCACTTCTATGGGAACAACAAGGAGCACAGGAGAGAGGATGCAAGAGGAAGCATTGAGACAGGAACAATAAGGGAGTGTTAGAGGGAGGAGGAGGAGGAGGAGGAGGAGGAGGGAACGGACCGGCACAGCAATCGCGATGCACTCAAGCATGTCGTCCTTCGTGACATTCTCGTGAGGCAGCACAACAAGTGCAACTTTCTTCTCCGGCTGCTGGTCCTCCTCAGGCTGGTCATGGTTGACCACCGACACAGTCCGGCTGCAACCAGGCATGAGCGAAAAGAGTACACCACCAGCTCAACGATCAGCTCACCTTCTGAAGATCCAGCCGACCGCAAAGATAAGAACCCAATCCGCTGCCTCCGCAGAAGCGGGGTAGACGAACTGCATGTCGTAGGAGAGCATGAAAGTCTGGATGATCTGGAGGAGGACTTGGACGAACAAGTAAGTGACGATGCTGGTGCGGAAGAAGGCGTAGACTCTGACAAGCTCCTTCAGGATGTTGTACTCAGTGTCCCTCCTGTTCTCGCTGTCAAGGTGCATCAGCCGCCCGATGAGAGCTTGGTAGTTGAGAGCGATGGAAGCGAAGATTATCCTGAGCACGATGATGAAGATGAACACCCACATGAAGAGGAAGAGCCCTTGGAAGAGATCATAGGTAAAGGTCGCGATCGCTAGCCAGCAGAGTGAGAAGAGGATAGTCCTGAGCTCCGTAATGTTAGTTTCCCACCTCACCACCATCAGCCCCTTGGCCAGCACGAGGAGAGCAGTAAAGAGGACCCCTCTGTAGATTGAGCTCGAGATGTATCGAATGACGTTCAGCCATGGAATAACTTGCCCGGTCACTCTGACATCCTCCCAGAATTTGTGGGTGATTGCCATGTTCACGGCCTGAACCATCGGCACGCACGTCAGCATCTTCTGCAGCATTACGTTGATGTCTCGTCGCACGACCCACGTCAGCACCCAGAGAGCCGACGTGAACACCCAAACGCCAGTGAGAAAGAGGTACACTTGTGAGTAGTTTCTGTACTCACAACTCAGCTGCCCGAAGCTATTCAAGTATTCATATTGTATCAACACGCCCGCAGTTGTCTGCTTGTTGGTGTTGGAGCACATGAGCATCGCAAACACTTTCTTGCCATTCACATGCTTGGCCCGAGCTGTGATCTGTCCATCTACCGAAGGAATCGCTCGCTCACAGAGTGAGCTTGCAGGCAACGAGCATAGATCACTCGCAGTGTAGATGCTGTAATATTGTGACTCAGAGCAGATGAGCAGGTTGACACTTGAGCAGGTTTCGCAACGGGCCTGCACATCTATCTGCAGAGATCCGTCTTCGAAACAAAATTGATCAAAAGACAAGAATTGTTGGTTCGTGGTTACGGACAGCTGGCCTTTCATGGCATCACAAACTTGCAATATGAAGAGCAGCGGTATAAGCCCATGGCGAAGCAAGCAGGGTCTATAACGCTTCTCGATCATCCTATCCATGTGATCTTCTTCAAATCATGTGTTTTTCATCATCATCTTCCCATCGTGTTCCCAATGTTTCAGAAAGGTAAGGAATTTTCACTTCCTCCGAGCGCTTGGTTCTCCTCTGAGCATCTGTGAGAAATTGTCAGCAACGAGGCTACAAAGCTTACGGGCACATGCTCAAGTGAGGTGAGATTTCTAGCTCACATCATTTTTGACCTAATCCTTTATCGTTCTTCAACCTCCCCCAAACTAAGATTCAGCAACTATTCTATTATTCAAGTCCTTCGAAGCCTGTAAGAGAATGATCATGTGATCTCCTCAATTAAAATGCAATACAACAATCGACAGGTTCTCCAATATGCTGCTTGTTGTTTGCCAGCTCTGAATTTTGAACTCATCGACCCAACAATCTTTCGTCCTGATCCTGTTTCTCACAAGATAACCTCACCATACAGACTTTCAGCTCTATGATCACACATATGATACGATGTTCACAACTTCTCCTCGCCATATTTCGCTCCCTCCATCTCACCTCATGGTGTCCTGGCGGCTCCTGCCATGCATTCGCCACAGCCGACCCGCCAGCCATGAAACTGATCGAGCTGTGTCGTAAAAAGCAGATAAAAGAAATATTTTAAAAAATCGGGAAGTGAGCAATAGAATATTGAACATTTATTGTATCCGATACTCTGGATATTGACCTTTATGTGGTTGCGGCAATTGAATTTGATGAGAGTCGTTTCATTTATATGCCGACCACCATTGTAAAACACTTCTACAGTTTTCTTGAGCATTTGTACCACCAGGTGAGTTATAGCACACAATAATTAATTTTTTAATAATAGAATGTTTTTGGTCGGATCCTTCCGACGGTGAAAGATCTCTGCCAAAAAGTAGGGGTACTGAAAGGAGATATGGGGGTGGGGGGGACCAGTCCAGCTTCACTGATGATGTGGCTTTGATATGGGCTGATATGGCTCTGATATGGACCCATATCAAAGCAATGGGCTGGTCCTTTAAAATTTAATATCTATAAATTATAATAAAATTGTGCCGCATATGGAATGCGCCTGAAACCATTCGTACAATCAACTTATGTTAATAATCATTGTTGCTTTTCGTGGTACAAGTAAACAATTCATATATAAGTTTACTTTTTGAAAGTTTGGACCTTTAGCTCCACGATAACACAATCATGAGAAGTTCCATTTCCAAAGTTCCAAAGTTAGAATATTGTCGAGGGGTAGGGGTAGTATTTTCAATGCGATTGTCTGAAAATGAGGGTAGGGGTGCTTCAAAAGTTCAAACAACCGGTACTTTACTCGGGAAATATTACCCGCTCTTGGGGAACTCTGGCCCAATGCATTGGGTAAACCAGGATAGGTGGGGTGGATGGCTCTGGTAGGTGGGTGGGGGTAATGCGGTAGAGGGTAGGGGTGCAACCCAATCGCCACGCAGGCATCAAGATTCCATGCAGGACGAACTGAGGAGTAGCGGAAGGGAAACCAGGAGGAGCGGTAGCAGGAGCAGGAAGCAGGAAGCAGGAAGCAGGAAGCAGGAGGCAGGAAGCAGGAAGCTGGAAGCTGGAAGCTGGATCAGGAGCAGGATCAAGAGCAAGAGCAGGAGCAGGAGAAGGAGCAGGAGGAGGACATTTGTCAGTTAATTGTTTTATGAAGGAATTCGAGACTTTGGACATAGGAACAGCAATTCCGTTGTTGTAGAAGATCTCAAAACTTTCAACATGAGGCAAAGTGCTGAGAATCCTGAGCGAACTGAACCCATCACTTGTGTTCTCGATCCAAGTACACACAAACTGAGTTCAAGGGGCAGGCCGTACAAGATGCCTATTGCCACGAGATTGCTCTTGCTGGTTGCCCTGGTATGCACTCTTGCGATGTCCCGCATGATGATGTACTGCCGCTAATGTTCAAGCGAACAGGGGAACATGGCAGTCTCCTTCAGCCTCCCAGTGTTGCAAGAGGAACCATCAGGTGGGAAATTAGTTGCTGTTCCTCACGGAGCCAGTATTCCGGAAGGTGCAACGTCAGTGCCAGAAGGACTCAGAATGCCAGCTCATGTTGTCGCAGATGCAACACAGAGAGCAAGGCTGAGCGGCAAGGTGAGAAGCAGGCAGTAGAGGAAACGTTGGAGCAGAGGGGATCGGGAGGGAAGGAGGGTGGGAGGTTGGGATGAAGGGATACTGTTATCTGGTATATTATTCGTCCTGAGACAGATTGTGATCGTATTTGCGTACCTGCAGGCAGTGGCAGTTGATATCCCCAAGTCAGCCATACAGGGAGCGAGCAGTTTCTCAGACACGCTGGCTCGCAAGACCAGCCACAGGCAGAGGATGACTACCATGCGGGACAGCCAGATCGGTGCGAGAAGCTACTCCCGCGGCGTTGAGGGCTGAGGAGCTTGCTGGCAGGGGACGGGGCTGACCAGATCTCGGGTGATGGAGCGACGGCAAAACGACAGCCCGTGGATGAGGTGCCGATACTTGCCTTTCTGATAACTTCGCTCCTCCTCCTGTCTCTTAGAGCCTGCCGTGCCCTTATGGATCTCGCATTGAACCCTTCTTGCGGCCCTTTACCATTCAGAGCAGAAGCATAGTTCTTCCCCCTTCCTGCTTCATACCAGAAATGGCGTGTATTTCTCTGACTGTGCAACGCTGGGCTCCAGGTCTCACGACTCATCTCGATGCTCCCGTATGCGTTCGGGATGGTTGCAGTTGCTGTTGTGCTTGTACTATGCTTGATCGGAAGGTGAGTGCTGATCTTTCAGAGCCTGTTGCGCTCTCGCCAGGCTTTCTTCCTCCTCTCTTCCTCCTTCTTCATCCTTCCTTCCTACTTCTTCCTCCTTCTTCCTCCTTCTTCCTCCTCCTTCCTCCTCTCTTCCTCCTCTCTTCCTCCATCTTCCTCCTTTCTTCTTCCTCCTTGCGACGTATGCTTCAGAGATCTTTGTGACGTATGCCTTGTCAGGATTTCCAAGTACGTGTCCTCAGAGAACTCATCGTATTTCGCCAAGGATGGTTCTCAGGCACAGCACAAGTCTGTGCCCAAGGGTGTGGTAAGTCCCTTTTGCAATGTTGTGCACTCTTGGAGGTCGTGAGGTTCAAACCGTCTTTGTCTGCGATGTCGTTGTGTAAGGAGAGCGGCTCTCTTTATGTGGTATGATGTATCCGAGCACTCTCTGACTGTTGAGCACAGGGAGGGATGGGGAGAGTGGGCTTCCGAAGGTACTAGACAAGTCTTGTTGCAATTCTTATTATCGAAACAAAGGGAGATTGTAAATAAACGTCTTGCTACTCGCACCGAAACGCCATGGAGGTGTAAGAAAGCAAACGGAAGGACTAGGTCGGGGTAGTCGCTCAGGTGTGCCCAGGGGGCGCAGAGCAGGGGGGAGGGAGAGTGGAGGAGGCAGATGTCAAGGGGGTAGAGGGCAGCGACGGCATCATCGATGGAGGGGAGGAAAGACATGGGAGGAGGGAGGGAGAGTGAGTCTGAGACGGGGAGAGGGAGGTTTATATTGGAAGGGAAAGGGTCAGCAAGTCGACGGAAATCGCAATGGTTCGGGGGGGATAAATCCAGGTGGTCACATGGTCTACCTCCCCCGCGCCTGTGTCCCTTTTCATGAGGTACCGTTGGTTTTCACTTACTTGTGGGAGTAGTAACAGAGCGACATTGAGTCACTTCAACAAATATTCAAGGATGACGAGGTAGACGAGTCGGAGTAAAGCGATTTTCCGGCTTTCCAGTCAAACGTCTCAGTGAAGTTTCCTGACCCCTTGATTTGGCCAGGCAGGCGGATCGGACCGACCGACCGAAATTATATCACTCTTAAAAGTTGGAACGACAGGATGGCGATCACGTGACTGATTGACTAAACTCATTCAACATCTCCTTTACTCAAAGTTAAGTTAAACATCAGTATCAGTAGTTCTTCCCATTGCGGGCTCCTCACAGCAGCAGCAAGCTCCGACTCTTTTATTCTGACAGAGTCAGAGAGTTCGATGAGCTTCGCTAGCTGGACGATCGAAACCTTCCAGTCACAATCGCGTGAACCTCCTTCGTTCAAGGTACCGGCAAGCTAAGGCCTTCACATGACGCATCCTGATTGAGCAAGAGGAGGCAGCCGGTGAAACTCAATCCTACAGTACCCTACCATATCGCACCATTGCAAGCATCAAGAGGCGGGTTCGCTTCACGTATCTCTACACCCCTGGCGTCTGTTATCTCAACTGAATGAGACGAGCAGTTCACAATCTGACAATGAGAGCGGACTTGCTCCCATCCAGCCCTTGAGCTGTGTGCAACAAGTGCACCTCAAAGAATCTCATCACTACGTGATCCAGCGCAAGTACATACTTGCACACTTGAGTCATGTAGAGGTCAGCCCTGACACGAGAGACTGACAGTCTGTCATGTTACTGCAGAGGTACCAACCATGTCCAGAGCAGGGATCACGGCAGAGAGCACCACACGCTTAAGCCTTGAACAAGGCAGAACGGTCTTGTGTAAAACCAGTCTACTTAACACACAACCCGAGTCAAGAGCTTCATTGCTACACAACAAACACACAATCAACTCGACCACCTATACTTGCTCCTTACTGCCTCCAGCTCCCTGCTCGCCTCCTCTCCTTCTCGTAGTGCTTCTGCGCGTGTGACCGTACTTGCTCGCTCGTCTTCGTCCCGATGTACGCTGCCATCTTCGCCGCCGTCCCCCGCCCCAGCCCCACCCCCGCCCTCCCCGCTTGCCTCCCCGTGCCTCTCCCTGCCCGGCCGTACAGGGAGAGGGCCTCGAGGAAGCGCCTGTGCTCCTCTGCCGACCACACTGACCGGCTCGCTATCACGATGTAGGACGTGGAGGAAGCCGTAGACTCCGAGGAGCTCGCGACGTCGGGGGAGGAGGGACAGAAGGCAGACGGGAACGATGAAGGCGGGAGGGCAGGGGCTTGGCTCAGACGGAGGGGCTTGTCGGGGTCCTGCCCGGCGGGAGCCAGCGGCAGGACGCCGGGGCGTGCAGGGCCGCTCGGGGCGCTGTAGAGGAGGGGAAGGTCGGGGTAGTCGCTCAGGTGTGCCCAGGGGGCGCAGAGCAGGGGGGAGGGGGAGTCGAGGAGGCAGATGTCGAGGGGGTAGAGGGCAGCGACGGCATCATCGATGGAGGGGAGGGAAGACATGGGAGGAGGGAGGGGGGGGGAGGATAGGGGAGGGAGGGAGGACGGGGGTAGAGTTGCCGACCGGGCCGGGCAGAGTTTGCCCGGCGAGCGATGCGGCCCTCGACGGGCACTGAGCGGCTCGGGCCGCGTCGGCCCCGGAGTCGCGGAGCCTCGGAGGTTTGGACCCTACAGTTGAAATATGAATTCTTCCATTATCAAGTTACAAAGGTGCTCGTGACCGTGTGACTTGAACTGCGACCGTCCGGGACGGGCCCGAGACCAGGTTACGTCGGCTGACTGATTTCGACTGTTATCCCGACTCGGAACCGCTCGGTCTTGCTAGCCATGAGGATACAGCCAGACGAACCAGTCGTCGCCTACCGTAGTAGCAGTCCGAGGTAAAACTCCCCCCTGCCAACGGTGCCATCACGGCGGCCCCCCACCCCCGTTTTACTGTGGGTGGAGCGAACGATTCCTACTAGCATATCCCCGGCGAACCGTTGCTACATGGGATCCTTTTCATTCTCCCCCGGCCCCCTCGCCCCCCGGGGCCTACCGTACTGGGCCGCAAGCATTAAGTTGTAAGTTGCCGCGTTGCGGCTCGCCGCTGGCAGCCAGTACCGTCACGGCCCGGCCCGGCGGGCCGTATGATGGTACAGTACTGCTCAGCCCCGGTGCAGCCCGGCGTGTGACTCAGTCTGTGTTTGGAGATGATCCCGGGATACCAGAGGATGATTGAACTTGAGTTTGGCAAAGCAGTATCTTTGTGCTAACTTCAGTGGCATTGGCCGCTACTTGCGGCCACTCCGAGTCAGTGACTCTCTGTAGTACAAACGTGCCGACTCAGGGCCTGTTGGGCAACAGCAACTGCAAAGTACGGGAGTCCCTTGCCGCCCAATCCTGCTCAATACAATCATCCTACTGCGGAGGACTGAGCTCCCCTTCGCAGAGCTCTGATAGCCTGGTTCAGGGTTTAGGGTTTACCCCTGACAGCCCTGTCTGTCGTGCTATCCAGCAGGGACTACCACCAGGATGTAAGTTCAACAGCGATAGGCGTCAACATGAAGATATGGTCGAGTCATAGCTGGCGATGGTGAGAGGGGATTTCGACCGGGTGAAGCAGATGAACGGATAGCAACAAACTTCTGCTCGAGGCAGAGAGGGAGCAAACGACGTCCCCGCACCAACAGCACCTCTTCCTCCTCGTACCACTTGTCAGCCCAAGTCCATACGACACCTGACTTCAGACACAAGAGCGCTGGAACCGGACTTATTACCAGAAGGATACCGAAGATAGAGGGTCACTTCATTACTCAGTCATCACACAACAGCACCTCTACTGTTTTCTCCCTGCTCGCCTCCTCTCCTTCTCGTAGTGCTTCTGCGCGTGTGACCGTACTTGCTCGCTCGTCTTCGTCCCGATGTACGCTGCCATCTTCGCCGCCGTCCCCCGCCCCAGCCCCACCCCCGCCCTCCCCGCTTGCCTCCCTGCGCCCGTCCCTGCCCGGCCGTACAGGGAGAGGGCCTCGAGGAAGCGCCTGTGCTCCTCTGCCGACCACACTGACCGGCTCGCTATCACGCTGTCTCCGCTGCCTGCACAGTACGATGATGGCGAGCCGCCCGCCGTAGACTCCGAGGAGCTCGCGACGTCGGGGGAGGAGGGACAGAAGGCAGTCGGGAACGATGAAGGCGGGAGGGCAGCGGCTTGGCTCAGACGGAGGGGCTTGTCGGGGTCCTGCCCGGCGGGAGCCAGCGGCAGGACGCCGGGGCGTGCAGGGCCGCTCGGGGAGCTGTAGAGGAGGGGAAGGTCGGGGTAGTCGCTCAGGTGTGCCCAGGGGGCGCAGAGCAGGGGGGAGGGAGAGTGGAGGAGGCAGATGTCAAGGGGGTAGAGGGCAGCGACGGCATCATCGATGGAGGGGAGGGACGACATGGGAGGAGGGAGGGAGAGTGAGTCTGAGACGGGGAGAGGGCTTGGGGGTTTATATTGGAAGGGAAAAGGGTCAGCAAGTCGACGGAAATCGCAATGGTTCGGGGGGGATAAATCCAGGTGGTCACATGGTCCACCTCCCCCGCGCCTGTGTCCCTTTTCATGAGGTACCGTTGGTTTTCACTTACTTGTGGGAGTAGTAACAGAGCGACATTGAGTCACTTCAACAAATATTCAAGGATGACGAGGTAGACGAGTCGGAGTAAAGCGATTTTCCGGCTTTCCAGTCAAACGTCTCAGTGAAGTTTCCTGACCCCTTGATTTGGCCAGGCAGGCGGATCGGACCGACCGACCGAAATTATATCACTCTTAAAAGTTGGAACGACAGGATGGCGATCACGTGACTGATTGACTAAACTCATTCAACATCTCCTTTACTCAAAGTTAAGTTAAACATCAGTATCAGTAGTTCTTCCCATTGCGGGCTCCTCACTGCAGCAGCAAGCTCCGACTCTTTTATTCTGACAGAGTCAGAGAGTTCGATGAGCTTCGCTAGCTGGACGATCGAAACCTTCCAGTCACAATCGCGTGAACCTCCTTCGTTCAAGGTACCGGCAAGCTAAGGCCTCCACATGACGCATCCTGATTGAGCAAGAGGAGGCAGCAGGTGAAACTCAATCCTACAGTACCCTTCGCACCATTGCAAGCATCAAAAGGCGGGTTCGCTTCACGTATCTCTACACCCCTGGCGTCTCAAGTGAATGAGACGAGCAGTTTACAATCTGACAATGAGAGCCGACTTGCTCCCATCCAGCCCTTGAGCTGTGTGCAACAAGTGCACCTCAAAGAATCTCATCACTACGTGATCCAGCGCAAGTACATACTTGCACACTTGTCATGTAGAGGTCAGCCCTGACACGAGAGATTGACAGTCTGTCATGTTACTGCAGAGGTACCAACCATGTCCAGAGCAGGGATCACGGCAGAGAGCACCACACGCTTAAGCCTTGAACAAGGCAGAACGGTCTTGTGTAAAACCAGTCTACTTAACTCACAACCCGAGTCAAAAACTTCATTGCTACACAACAAACACACAATCAACTTGACCACCTATACTTGCTCCTCACTGCCTCCAGCTCCCTGCTCGCCTCCTCTCCTTCTCGTAGTGCTTCTGCGCGTGTGACCGTACTTGCTCGCTCGTCTTCGTCCCGATGTACGCTGCCATCTTCGCCGCCGTCCCCCGCCCCAGCCCCACCCCCGCCCTCCCCGCCTGCCTCCCCGTGCCTCTCCCTGCCCGGCCGTACAGGGAGAGGGCCTCGAGGAAGCGCCTGTGCTCCTCTGCCGACCACACTGACCGGCTCGCTATCACGATGTAGGACGTGGAGGAAGCCGTAGACTCCGAGGAGCTCGCGACGTCGGGGGAGGAGGGAGGGGCTTGGCTCAGACGGAGGGGCTTGTCGGGGTCCTGCCCGGCGGGAGCCAGCGGCAGGACGCCGGGGCGTGCAGGGCCGCTCGGGGCGCTGTAGAGGAGGGGAAGGTCGGGGTAGTCGCTCAGGTGTGCCCAGGGGGCGCAGAGCAGGGGGGAGGGAGAGTGGAGGAGGCAGATGTCAAGGGGGTAGAGGGCAGCGACGGCATCATCGATGGAGGGGAGGGAAGACATGGGAGGAGGGAGGAGGGGGGAGGATAGGGGAGCGAGGGAGGGAGGGAGGGATAGAAGAGGTAGAGTGGCCCATGGGAGCGAGGGGGCCGGGGGAGAATGAAAAGGATCCCATGTAGCAACGGTTCGCCGGGGATATGCTAAAACGAGGACTGTTCAACGGGTTGTTGCGAGGGGGGGTACTCACAACTTGATTAGAAGGGGTGGGGGGCCGCCGTGATGGCACCGTTGGCAGGGGGGAGTTTTACCTCGGACTGCTACTACGGTAGGCGACGACTGGTTCGTCTGGCTGTATCCTCATGGCTAGCAAGACCGTCGCCGCGAGCGGTTCGGGAAAACAGTCGAAATCAGTCAGCCGACGTAACCTGGTCTCGGGCCCGTCCCGGACGGTCGCAGTTCAAGTCACACGGTCACGAGCACCTTTGTAACTTGATAATGGAAGAATTCATATTTCAACTGTAGGGTCCAAACCTCCGAGGCTCCGCGACTCCGGGGCCGACGCGGCCCGAGCCGCTCAGTGCCCGTCGAGCCGCGCCGCTCGCCGGGCAAACTCTGCCCGGGGCCTACCGTACTGGGCCGCAAGCCGCATGATTAAGTTGCGGCTCGCCGCTGGCAGCCAGTACTAGTACCGTCACGGCCCGGCCCGGCGGGCCGTATGATGGTACAGCCGTGACTGCTCAGCGCCGGTGCAGCCCGGCGTGTGACTCAGTCTGTGTTTGGAGATGATCCCGGGATACCAGAGGATGATTGAATTTGGCGAAGCAGTATCTTTGTGCTAACTTCAGTGGCATTGGCCGCTAGCCACTCACTGACTCTCTGTAGTACAAACGTGACTCAGGGCCTGTTGTGAGGCAACAGCAACTGCAAAGTACGGGAGTCCCTTGCTGCCCAATCCTGCTCAATATGATTCCTACTGCGGAGGATTGAGCTCCGGGGCTTCACAGAGCTCTGATAGCCTGGTTCAGGGTTTAGGGTTTACCTCTCACAGCCCTGTCTGTCGTGCTATCCAGCAGTGACTACCACCAGGATGTAAGTTCAACAGCGATAGGCGTCAACATGAAGATATGGTCGAGTCATAGCTGGCGATAGCGAGAGGGGATTTCGACCGGGTGAAGCAGATGAACGGATAGCAACAAACTTCTGCTCGAGGCAGAGAGGGAGCGTCTAACGTCTCCGCACCAACAGCACCTCTTCCTCCTCGTACCACTTGTCAGCCCAAGTCCATACGAGACCTGACTTCAGACACAAGAGCGCTGGAACCGGACTTATTACCAGAAGGATACCGAAGATAGAGGACAGTCACTTCATTACTCAATCATCATACAACAGCACCTCTACTGTTTTCTCCCTGCTCGCCTCCTCTCCTTCTCGTAGTGCTTCTGCGCGTGTGACCGTACTTGCTCGCTCGTCTTCGTCCCGATGTACTCTGCCATCTTCGCCGCCGTCCCCCGCCCCAGCCCCACCCCCGCCCTCCCCGCCTGCCTCCCTGCGCCCGTCCCTGCCCGGCCGTACAGGGAGAGGGCCTCGAGGAAGCGCCTGTGCTCCTCTGCCGACCACACTGACCGGCTCGCTATCACGCTGTCTCCGCTGCCTGCACAGTACGATGATGGCGAGCCGCCCGCCGTAGACTCCGAGGAGCTCACGACGTCGGGGGAGGAAGGACAGAAGGCAGACGGGAACGATGAAGGAGGGAGGGCAGCGGCTTGGCTCAGACGGAGGGGCTTGTCGGGGTCCTGCCCGGCGGGAGCCAGCGGCAGGACGCCGGGGCGTGCAGGGCCGCTCGGGGCGCTGTAGAGGAGGGGAAGGTCGGGGTAGTCGCTCAGGTGTGCCCAGGGGGCGCAGAGCAGGGGGGAGGGGGAGTCGAGGAGGCAGATGTCGAGGGGGTAGAGGGCAGCGACGGCATCATCGATGGAGGGGAGGGAAGACATGGGATGAGGGAGGAGGGGAGGGGGGAGGGAGGGAGGGAGGGATAGATCAGGTAGAGGAGGCAGTGAAGGGATGAGATAGAGAGGAAGAAAATACCGCATCCTTTGCGGGGAAAAAAAGTTGCTGGTGGTCTTTATTCATATCCTCCTTGTACCCCCTATTATCACCTTTACATGTACCGGTGTTCACAGTGCCGACCTTTTAAGACAGGTGTAACCATCCAGGCGAGTTCGCGATATCGCAGCGCTTGGATGGGGCAAGACCTAACAGATGTCATCAATCACGGTACCGTCAACTTGGCCTTGAACCCCCCCCCCCTACCCCTACTCTTCACACTCAAAGATAAAAAACTCTCAAGTTCAGTTGACTGCTCTGTAAAGAAGAAATTTACCAGGCTCAAGGCAAGTTTCAGTCTGAGCGCCCGGGCCCCGGCGCCGGGGGCCGTACGATCAACACCGTGGCATCCGAACTGAGTGACTTTGATTGTCCTCGTACTGATTTTTAACTTAACTTTGAGTAAAGAGTGAAAAGGTCTTGACGCCGGCAAACCTTAACAGCGCCGGGGCCGCGGCGTGGCGGCCCGGGAGGCACCAGCCCCTTGGAAGAAGCCTACAGTACTAGGACAGCGGCCCGGGTGTGCTCAGGAGCGGCGGTGTATCGGGACCCTGGCTTTCATCCGTTTGCGTGCTCGTCTGTTTCGGCAGTATCGCTCTCGTATGGGTCTTGCCGTCCTCCTCGCAGGAGCCTTGCGCTACTGCTCTTTGTCCTGATCCTTGTTCCCCTGCTTGTCTTGCCTGCCGTCACTTTCGTGGTTCAATGGAGTACTACCGCGGTTTTGCTGCCTCCTCCGTTTCCTGGTGTGTAAGTTTATTGAGGCGGCTTTATAGGTTTTCTCCTTTTCCTCCTCGTTTGCTCCGGTTTGCCTTTCCTTTTTCAGTCAATCAATCGGAAATTGACAAGGTTTACTCAAAGTTAAGTTAGAGGACAGTCTCTCTGAATGTTCCGAAGTTCTTTTGACGCGGACTGAGACTGCCGCGGCGGCCCAGAAGCGCTCAACGGTAGAGAGAGCTCTGTTGGTGTATCGAGAGATACATGCACAGCTCCCCTGGACCACCTTCCACGGATATCATGCAGCAAGTTTGTCGAAACAGCAGCAATTGCAATGGCAACGGGAGGAAACTGCAAGTAGATGCTGCAGCAAGTAGATGCCGAGGCTCAAGTAGATGCTATTCCAGGAAACCGTCCGACCTATTCCTCCTAGCAAATAACCATTCCTCACCATCATCGCAAATCACTTCTTCAACTCCTCTGGAGAGACATCTTCCTCCTCTTCATCCCGAAACCACAGTGTTACCTCCTAGGTCTCAACGTGCCACGGCCAGCCTCCCCGTCGTCCTGGACGTCACTGTCTGACCTCTGGCATCTTTTCCCTCCTCCTCTTGCACCTAAGAGTCAACGAAGGCCTGCCGGTAGAGGAAGCAGAGGATCTCCTCGTCATATGACATGTTTCTCTGCCTAGATGTTGAACATCCCTCCAGGTCTTAGAGAAGAAGCCTTGCTCTCTCTCCGAGGGGAAACAACCTCGTCCTCAGACAAGCGAGGAGGCTTCTTCCTACGGGTCCTACTTCCTCTCCAGATATCTCCATAACGTACAAAAGTGTTCTCCAGAACAAGAGCAAGCTAACAGAATAACTATATTCTTTAGATAATTCACATTAGGAGATCTCTTCTTCGAGCTCGAGCTACCGCATCACTCCTGCTGTAAACATGCGCCAGCTTCGTCCAAGTATCTCCCCCCTCCTCTCCTCTCTGATCAATCCTCCTCACCCGCTGTCCTGCTCGCTGTCCCCGTACCTCAGCGTATGCGCCTATGACATTGTTGTCGCCTATCCGAATAGAGACTGTCAGTTAGAAAGGCTCAAGCCTTCTCCCTCGCTCCCTCTCCTCTCGCAATGACCACTGGCTCCTCCCTCCAATGTTGCCTTTCTGCTTTCCTGCTGCCAGTCTCCTATCTACCTCCCTCCCGTGTCATTGCTATGCCGCTTGCCTTCCATCCCACATAGCTCCTTGCTCGATTCCAGCTGTCTATCTCTATCTGGCTGCCTTTGCTTCTCGTACTTGATCTCTTTTCCCTCACTTCGCTTACCCGTATGTCTCATAATAGAAGTCCTTCGCCTCGTGGTAAGAGACAGCAAAGTTCAGAAACATTTGAACCTCCCTGTACGTTTCCAATCCCACTTTGTCATACTTTGGAAGTAAATTGGGTCTGTCACGCCAGTTCCACTCGATGTCTTTTGGGTGATCAATCAGAAGTTTTGGCCAGTTCTGACGGAGAAATATTGAGCACGGAAGAATTTCTTCCATTGAAGCCCCCTTTTCCTCGAACACGTCGTCTTTTTGTTTCCTTCTAAGGCGTCGTATGTTTACTGCGCAGATCCTCCGAGCTCGGTCGCTGATGGATCCTCGCTGTGACCATCTCTCTGTGGTTTTCACTTGGATGGCGTAGCGCGTGAGGACGTTGTCGCCAACCTTCAAGACGTACATCCTCTCCAGCAGCGCCTCTGCTGGAGGATTCATGCTGAACTCGCTGTAGTTCTTGTAGGGAAAGTCAAAAACGGATGTGACGGCAACTTGTCCACAATGAAAGCTCCACATGAGAGAATTCCAGAGATCTTGGTCACGTGTACGTCTATAGGGCTGAAAGATTGTCTCTGTTCCTTCTCCTCCTACTCCCCCTCCCTCATGTCTCCTCGTGTCCCAGACCGACTGAACGATCTGCGAAGTCTCTTCTTGCACCTGTTGGTTTGCTTGTTGTGAAAGATGACAATGACGTAGTTGTACTTTACCTGATGGTCAGTGTCTTTCCCTGCTGCTGCACCTTGTTTGGCATGAATAATCGAATGCATTTGAGATACAAACAGGGTGGAGGCGAAAGAAAAGATAAAACAAAATAGGAACAAAGAGAAAGTGATAGTTTAAAAGCACGAAGATTTACCTGGATAGTCTTCATCGTCGTTGCATTCATCCTCAGACTTGCTCTCCGAATACATCTTGAGGGAGAGGTTAGCTTTGATATCTAATGGATGAATTGTACTCACCTCCGGTCCCGATGCTGTTGACAAGATGGATCTGTAAGAGGAATGCATGTACCTACCTTGATGTTCTTCTTTAGGACTCACCCAGGGTTTCTTGCTGATCTTCTCCTTCTCATCTTCCGCATCAAACTTGTTTGCAAACCGCAAGCCGTCCAGGAACGACAGAAGACCCTGCTCGACCCGATGGTTCACGATCATCACCGTTCCTTCCTTGAGCGCTCGAGTGATGGCTCGGTACAGCAGCGATCGATGCAGGTTGAGGTCCTCGTCCGTCACCTTCTCGTCCAGACCGACTGCGATCACAACCTTGCTCTCCATCCCGTCGAAGTTCGCGACCGTGTCGAAGATGATGTTCTGGTCGTCGCTCTCGTCCTCCCTGCCTCGAGTCGTCTTCCATGCATCAACCGCAGCAATCAGCTTGAAGCTCGATGGCAAGGCGGAGTCCTTGTCAAGATGGTCTTGCAGTATTTGTTTCAAGTTGAGCTGGACAAGCCTCTCATGGACGAGTATCGCGATCTTCCTGTCCAGGTTCCCCGGGTACTCCACCATCACCTCTCTCATCACCTCCACGATGTAAGTAGCGTACTCGCGCGCTTGGTTGTCACTGGAGCCCAGCGAGAAGATGTAAGGCTTGACAGGTCGACCAGAAACGTTGTGATGGCAAGACACCGCATCGATTGAGATCCCTTTCTGAAACAACAACGACGCTGTCATCGTCCTGTTGCTGTTTCTCACGACTTCAGTCAGGTAGACATCTTCAAGCCATTGAGGATAAGAGATGTCTGTAACATCAGCCTGCGAGCTCTCTGACATCAGCATCATCCTCGCCTTGTCGTACCTCTTCAGCTCGATGTAGTCTCTCGCTTCTCGATCGCAGTACACATGATGCGCCTCGTCGATCACTACAAACTTGTACTCCGACTCATTCTCACCCAAGATCTCCATCTGCTTCTCTCGCCTCCTTAGCTCCCCCCCTCCCTCTTCCGTCATCCAGAACGGACCGTCCCATCCTCCCTCCCTGCGGAAGGAGAAGAAGATCCGACCGAACAGGCCTTCATCCACCAGCCTCCACCTTGCCATCGAGCCCACCCAGTGCGCTATGAAGAAAACAAAGGCTTCCGATCGGAGAAGGAAGAGGATAGAGCAGACCCTGTCCCTCTCCAGCTCTTTCAGCATCATGTGAAGCGCCATAAACGTCTTCCCCGTCCCTGCTGGGCCTCGCAGGTGAACTCCTCTCCCCCTCTGCATCGCCAATTCGCATTGTCTGGCCTTCTCCTTCTGATGAGCGGTCAGTATGCTCCTCCCGTCTTCCTCCAGCAGCCCCTCGGCTCTCCTCGCAGGCCCCATGAAGCGCAGCAGGCGACTGGGAAGACGAGCAAGCACGCGGAGGTTCGACCGGATCTCCCGCAGACGCTGAGACGAGATCTTTTGGAGAGCGAACTGCTTGGAGGAGCTTGAGGCGAGCAAGGAGAAGCCTTGGAAAAGAGAGGGCAGGCTTGACACGTGCTTGCCCTCCCTCGTCGTCTCCGCCATCTTCTCTCGCTTGTACGTCTCGAGGTACTCGAACAAGATGAGCGAAGCAATCTTTTCCATCCTCATGTAGCAGACATAGCTTCCAGTCTCGATCACGTTGGTGATGATCTCGATCGCCTCGGCTCGGGACCATAGAAACTTGTTCATTCTCCCCAAGATCTGCCCCACGTCTTCCTTGTTCACATCCCAATCTTTCATCACACGGCGATGCCATGCTCGTCTGCAAGACTCCTTGTCCGGAAGACAAGCGCTGACAAGCTCGTCTGTCAAGAAGACCACTGAGGCAAACCTCTTCTTGCGACCCCATTCAGCAAGCTTGTCTCTATTCCAGTACTTGTATTTCACATCTCCGTGCTCAAGTATCGTATCCAACATTCGCAGCAGCTTGTTTTGTGATGCAGACTGAGCGATGCACCTATCCCACTTCTCCCTCCATTCCTCGCCCATTCTTGCGTCCTTCACCACCTTCAGCCACAGGAGCATGCACATCGTCCATTCGCCGCCACCTCCCCCACTCCCCCCCTCAGTCTCCATGACCTGCCTGCTGTCGTTGATGGTGATCTGAGGACTCCCTGAGAACCTGCCGAAGCCTTGCAGGAAACATGTCATGTGGATCTCGAAGTCGTCTTTGTTGCCTACGTTCCTCGCGATGACCAGCTCGCTCTGGCACGTTTCGTCCTCAGAGTCGCTTCTATCACTCAACTCCGATTGAGACATCGTGTCTGCTTCAGACAGGTCGCCAGGAGCGCAAAGCTGTGCCGTGCGATCTGACATCTCCAGCACTTTCTTCCTGATCACCCTCCAGAGTTTCTTCTTCTGATGAGGTAGCAGTCTTGTCTCCGTCAGCTCATCAAGCGAGTCTTCCGTCAGATATTGGAGACCTTCAAGCTTCCAGTCTTCGATCTCGAGCTCCTTGCAGAGTCGTTCAGCAATCTTGGTAAACCCCTGCTCCTTGAAGAACCGCACCATCTCCGTCTCTTCCTTGTTTTCTCTCGCTTTCTCCGTCTCCTTCTCAGGCGTCGGAAGGCAGAAAGCTGAAGCATCTCGACGACCATACAGCCTGTACCCGGCTGAGCATCCTTCCGCCATATTCCAGGAGCACAGCAAGGATCGTCCTTGGAAGAGATTGTCATACAATGTTTGAGCAAAGCTGATGGCCAACTGATCGATTAGTCCTCCTTTGTGCCCGATGGCAAAGTCCACAACCGTCGCCAGCCTCCTCGCATGCTCGTCCGAGAAGCATGCGTTGAGAACCACAAGCTGCACCTCAGCAGCTCCTGACCTCCTTGCCTCCTCGTTGTGAGCTTGCAGAGCGACCATGATGGTTTCAGGCACGACATTCTGTCGGAAGAGCATGATCGCTTCTCGATCTGAGTGACAGCTGAAGTGAAGAATCAGAGGCTGGCGCTTGATTTCCTTCATAACATCTCCCCATATCGAGGAGTAGGTCCTTGACAGATTGTTGGCATCCGTTGCGCTCATAATGGCATGGATGTAGTTGTACTCTTCGTTGAGGTTCAAGGATTGATCCTTGGGGCCGGCATGGACGTCTACGGGCACAAAGAGGAGCCGATGGGGGTAAGGAGGGGTTTCAGGCTTGGGATAGTCGGACCAGTTGACCTCGTCGTCTTCCGCTTCTTGAGCTTCGCTGTCCTTCGGTACCTTGGACACTAGTTTGCGAGGGGGCATCTGGGCGAGGGAAAGAGTATCAGGAGGAGGAGCAGGAGGAGCAGGAGGAGCAGGAGGAGCAGGAGGAGCAGGAGGAGCAGGAGGAGCAGGAGCAGGAGCAGGAGCAGGAGCAGGAGCAGGAGGCTTGATTTTCAGCCAGCGATCATCGTCAGCTCTCGACTAGTTGAGAAGAGCAGCATCGCGATGGCTTTCCGAACAGGGCAAAGTTGGAGTTTTTAAAACTTTATCTTGTAATTTCAATAAATGGTACAGATTTATGAAACTTGCTGGAAACGAAGCACTGTCCCTTCAGTCCGTATCCTGCACCAGAGCAGCACCAGAGTGTTTTAGGGGAGACTAAAACGCAGACCAAATTCAATTTCATTCTGGTACTAATTTTAAGTCAACTCGCGCTCGAGGTCGAAAAAGCAAATTGAAATCCAACTAAAAGTTCATTATATTTGAATTTCAAACGATGCGTTTGCAATTTCCGAATTTCGTCGCCCCTCCCTGCCATGGAAGGCGGGACGGGCATGTCGCTGGTGGATAACATACCCATCAATGATGGGTCGGATCATTATGAATTTACCTGCAGTGATGGAGAAGAAAGCATTTCCGAATCGTCCAGTGACGACACTGAGATCTTAGGTCCACCGCAGAAGAAGAGACATCTTCGGAAAGGGAACAGGATCGGCAACTGGACGAAGAGGAATATGAGCAGGAAGAGGCTTGATTGGTACGAGTTTCAAAGAACTTTGAGTGACTATCAATTTCGTATATTCTATCGAATGTCTCGCACTGCATTCTAACATCTTTTGTCTCTCATTCGTAATGATATTACTGGCAAAGAGGAACATGGAAGGAGGGGCAGTCCACATGGGTGTATCACGGCGGAGTTGAAACTGTCCATGATAATCAGATGGGCTGGCAGGTGGCTCATATTTAAATATTCATCACTTCCATTGAGTCTCTGATTGTGCGCAAGAATGAAGTACTTGTGGCCATCTCGAATTGTGACCGTCCCTTGCGCATCAGATATCCTGATTTGAAGGACACAAATGCTTTGCAAAGCATCGCCACAGGCTTCAAGATGAAATCTTCTCGTGGCATTTTTGATAGATGCATCGGTGCCATTGATGGAGTACTGATTAAACTGCATTGTATCAAAGGAATGGAGTCGTACAGAGCTCCACGTTATTTCACTCGCAAGGGATACTATGCATTGAGAACCGTCGATTCCTTTGGTATGGTATACACAACCCGGTTAGTACACATGATAGCCTTGCTTTCTGCAAAGGAAAACTGGAGGATCTCAACCTCCTCCGTCCTTCTGTGCGTAGGTAGCTGGCGCCTTGGCAGCATCTTCGTGTAACGCGAAGAAAATGAGGGTAAAATTGGATATTGGATGTTATATTTAGCTCTCAGAATACAAATATTTATGTTTCAAACCGTTTCACGTAACGAATTATTTCAAGATTTGCGAAATTGAATTTGGTCTGCGTTAGTCTCCCCTTAGAGACAGTAGGTGTCACCTAGTCTGTCTCCAATCTCCTAGACAACGCTCTGCATCCGATCAGTCAGAAGGGAGAGGTGAACTGGAGGGCTGAGGGTTTCATGAAAACAGCCCTCCAGTTCACCTCTCCTCTCCTTCACTTTCTCCTCAACGATAGAGTTAGACTCTATCGTTGAGATAGACTCTATCGTTGAGGAGAGGTGAACTGGAGGGCTGAGGGTTTCATGAAAACAGCCCTCCAGTTCACCTCTCCTCAAATGATCGCAAAACTTTTACAAGTGCCAATGAGAACAAGGATTGCTAGTGGTAAAGAAACAATCTGAACAGCGAGCGCACAACCCTCGGACGCCCTCAGACAGGCAGGAAGAGAGTTAGACAACGATGAGTTTGTCATGGTCAGGTGGAAGGAGCTAGTAATGCTCCCTGGTGAACTAGTCACATCCTCGCAAAGAGTAGATAACAATCTTACCCGTCGTGGGTGATCCCTCTCTCAATGAAAGCCTGGCAGGGGATCGGTCAGGATGGGTGAGAAGAGCAGGAAGGGACACAGGTTGCAGCGAGAGGGAGGCGAGCGAGGGAAAGGAACGGCGGAGGATGAGCGAGTGAAACGCTCATGGGACAAGGGAAACACAACAGGAAAGCAGGAGGAGGAGGAGAAGGAAGATGCAAGGTGAGGAGCGAGGGAAGGGGGGGGATAGAAGGAGAAAGAGGCACTGGAGAACACGCTAGGTCACAGACAACAGGATGTTGCTGGAGCGCATGGGGGACAGAAAGAGGAACGAGGAGCTGGTGGGGAAGGGAGGGTATCCCCTTGCACTGAGAAAGTTTCACCTCCTTGGTAGAGCACACGAGTGGCTTGTCAGGGCAACATTCCCATATGTAAGTCTGGAACTGATGAGTGGAATGAGACCTCGAGCCGATGACCTGTCGAGCATCAAAATTCAAAATTCAACCCACGTTGCTCCAGCTTGTTCCTCTTCTTCCTTTTCCCCATAACTCTCCACATACGTGTGTACACGCATCCGAAATACCTCTCCGCCTCTCCTTCCCCTCCCCCTCCCCCTCGTCCTCCCCCTCGTCCTCCCTTTCCTCTCCCTTTCCCCCGCCCTCCCCCTTCCTCCTCCTCCTTCATCACCACGACGTTGTTCAGGGGATGCACTTTGCAATCCTTCCCCGTGTTCTGCAGCTGCGAGGGAGTCAGGAGAGCCCGAAGGAGCGAGCAGGCAACTCACCGCAGTGAACGTCTCCCCGCATATCTTGCAGATGTGAGGGATGGAGTGACAAGGGTCTCCTTTAGACTTCCCGCACGTGCACTTCGAGCTTAGCAGCGAGGACTGCCATCCTCCCCGTCAGCCCCTCACCCTCCGGCGTCCCCGAGCACGCTACTCACCCTCTTGTATCTCCTGCAGTTGCCCATGACCATGCTTGCACGATTGGTCTGCTGCTGAGAGAGACGCAAAATAGGACGTCATGGTTCATTGACCCATCTCTTCCACATCTTCTTCCTCCATCTCCCACCCTTCTTCCTTCCTTGCCTTTATCCTCCATGTTTCGAACACCACCCATGTTCTCCCTCGCCCCTTCTCCCCCTCTCCTCACCTCATCAGAATCTTGGTTAGATTCAACAAGGATCCCTCTCTGGACAGTGTAGGTAGCGTTGGGATTTGACAAGGCATCGCTCGACTCCATCTTCTCTCAACTTGTCGATTGCCAATGGCCTAACCCTGTTGGCCCTGGCGGCTGTTTCTTGATCCTCCTCCTACTTACTAAGCAAATTTGACGAGTTTTGTTGAAATGATGTGCTGTTTCAGTTGAATCGCTGCCTACAAGCAGCATGTCAGTTCAATCTCTACCTCTGATTTCAAGCAACCGACTCAACCATAAATTGCATCGCAACAACGTTCCCTACAGATCTACATTATCGAGATTGCTCTTGATGCTGTCTACCTTTCTTCTCCTTCCCCTTCTCCTCCGACTCATATACAGCGTCTCCACTGCTCCTTTCCTCCGTCTTATGAATCTCATTCCACTTCCTCTTCCCTTTCCTTCGCCTATCTAGATTCTGCGCTCCTCCTCCCCTCCTTCCCCTTGGTCTCGGCAAGTAGATTTTCAAGCTCAAACCTCCCCCGCAACCAGCAATTGGCAGCAAGGAGGGCTTCGAGCCCTCGTTACCTTCCCATCCCCTCCTTTCCGTCCAATCATTCGAGCGCAAACTACCTTAGCTGACTCGTTCCAACATGAACCACTTTAGCTAACTCGTTCCATCATTGCTGTAGCTCAGCGCTGAGGATCGACCATGATAGAAGAGCGAGGCCAATCATGCTGCCAAACTGAAGCCCCTGCCCAGCCCTGTCTATCCCGTCCACCTTGCAACAGATGCTACTTCTTCTTCCTCCTCATTCTTCTTCTGCTCTTGACTTTGACCTCCCATCGTACACTTTTTTGCACCTCCTGCTTTCCTGTCCTGTTCTTCATGAATCCCACGCACAGGAAAAGGGGTGTGTTGGAACATTCGGCCGTCTCTCATTCTCGTCTTTCTCAAAACATTGCTTAAACTGCAACAACTGCTGCTGCCACTCTTCTTGTCTGCCTCCATGCCCCCTGCTCCCCTGCCCCCTGCTCCCCTGCCCCCTGCTCCCCTGCCCCCTGCTCCCCTGCCCCCTGCTCCCCTGCCCCCTGCCCTCTTTCTGTCTCCTGTCTCCAACCTTCTCCTTCCCTCCTCCCCCACTCCTTTCTGGAGACTCACTGACCACTCCTGCCACCTGACTCCCGGCTCCCGGCTCCGGCTCCCGGCTCCGGCTCCCGGCTCCCGGCTCCTCCTTCCTGCCTCCTGCCTCCTGCCTCCTCTCTGTCCTCCTGCCTCCCTCTGTCCTCCTGCCTCCCTCTGTCCTCGCTCCCCCTCCCTCCTGCCTCACACAACCATTGGATGTTGAAATTTCTTAGGGACAAACCCCATCTTGACATCCGTGCAGTGTATATCCGTCAGTATCCGTGAGTATCCGTGAGTATCCGAAAATTGAACGGCGTACGGGGTCGCCCACCCTACCCCCTAATTGTCCTCAATAGTGCAGATGTCGAGAGGGGTATATTGCATAGGTGACTTGTAGGTTTTCTATTGCAGAATCTACTGAAATGGGGGCCGTTTCAAAAACATTCACAATAAATTTGTACCGAACTCACACAAATTTATTGTCCAGTGTACTTGTGTCCTTGGGGTGGTCTGCAGAGAACGTGAAAATCGTATTGCAAAGGGTGGGTGGGTGCATGATACGAGGGGTACTAATCGGGTGTCAAGTTGATTTGACGGGGTATTTTACCATATTCTTCAGGGGTGGGGATATGCTTTGAAATGGTGGTAACGATTTAGTAGGTGAATACAAGGGGTAGGGGTTATTGGGGGATGTTGGGGGTGGGGTGGTTTATGCCGGGAGACTTGGCCCGCCGATCGGATCGAGGGGAAGGGTGAGACCGAGGGGTCGGGTCATGGTGATGAGATGAGGGGTAGGGGTCCGAATGAGTTTTGCTCCTGATCCATAAAGGGTGGGTCTCTTGACGGATTCTTTGGGGTACATTTCATCTCTTTCGGATCATGAGGGGGTACGGAACCACCGGACGGGGTGACGGGGATTGGCGACCCATACGAAACCCTGGAGGGTAGGGGCACAAATGTTAAGTGAGGAGTTGGCGACATATTATACCCCATTTTTATGTCAATCTATAAAGTATTGAATGGTATAGCGCAATTGTCAACTAGAAATTGATTTCCAAAAAGTGTAGGAAGGCAATAGGAAAATTGGGGGGTCATGGCATTTCAAGCACCCCTTCCTTTAACTGGGTTTTGGGGGACATTCGAGTATTCATTAGTATCACATTAGTCAAGCAGGGGTGCTTGGAGGAGAATCCTCAAAAACAAACAGAAAATTTAAAGTATATGATCATACATGGAGGTGGAACTATAAAAAGATGCCAAGTTGAACTATCATGATATGAAAACTACCCCCTTGTGACATCTCCGCAGCCGGCCACGCAGGGGTACGAGAAACAGGTAGGTGGAGGTGGGTTACCCCACCCTTTTACTATCCTCAGATCTCATCACAAAGTGTACAAAGCACATGAGATTGAAGGGGTACTCCGTTTGTTACAACTTCTCAAGTGGGTAGGGTGCCGCAAAGCTTCATGCGGGGGTGGAGTTGATGCCAGGGTGCATTGTGAGTGTGACTCGATTAGAAAGCTGGGTGGGGGTGGTCAGTGACCGAAATATAGGGGTAAAAATAAGAGTAAAATCACCGGTAGTCGAACATCCCGGAGCCTTGGCGGACTACCCCACCACCCTTATCCCCTGAGATCCATTCCAGATGATCGATCCCCTACGAACACTTTGTGAGGCATGTGCTCGAAGGAGCCGGACCCCCGCTACAGCGACTGCCATGCGTAGTCCTGTGCTTTGACGGCAGATGCGAGGGCCTCCTGCGCTTGCAATTTATCCCAGCAACATGCTTCATGGCAAAGAAATCCCTCTTGTGGTCTTCTTCCCTTTATTCCTATCTCGTACGGTAGCAATTACCGGCATTGGCCACACCAAAACACTCTCCTTGCCCTCTCCTACCCTTTGATTACCGCGATTGCCCGTATCTATCTCAGTGATATTTCCAGAGATGTCCTTGTCTTTCTTGGTTTGCACCACGCTGCTCTACCATCTTTCGTTTGCAGCAATGATGCAATCGTTCTCAATCGAATCGCATCCTGCACCTTTCATGCTCCTCGATCGATTTATGATTCTATTTCAATCTGTCTTTCTATGATAATCCTCCCTTCTTTGACGATCGTCTCACTTGAATCCAGCACAAAGTACAGTTTCTATCTCCTTTTGGTCCTGAGGTGTTTCTTCTTCTTTCCTCGTACGCATCTGTCCCCATTTCTGTCCCATCTTTACTGTGCTGGTTAGAGTTGAAACAGCTACATCTTGTCAACTACGGCAACCATTGTGTTTCTGCCTTGACCCTACTCATGAAATATTCCTCATGGAGGAACCGGTCTGCTTCCTTGATGTCAAGATCACGGGGTTTTGTTTTCAACACCATTTTAATCCTTCCCACCTCATTTGAAAGCGTTACTCAATTCATCAGCTTCCCTCTGTTCAGGATGAAGAGAACTTGAGAATGAGTGAAACACACAACATTCAAAGATCTTGATTCTCAAAGATTGACCATTTCATTGCAGAACACCGTATTTCTACTCGCGAGCAGAAAATTTTCTGAACATCGACCTCGTTCTATCGCGTTGTTTTGTCTTCAATGTGCGTTGAATCGTCAGTATTTGGGATGAAGCTCTTCAAGTTGTCAGCGTTCTCTATTCTTTTCTTGCTCATGGTGTGTACAAACGCCATGGTAGTTAGCGGAACAGGCATGGGCCTGTACTCCTCAACAGAGGTACCTCGGATGGCGGATGTGAATTCACCTTCAGTAACCGGAGCGAAGCTGGATAACAGGCATGCTAGCATCAACATGTTGTTTGGCATGGGGGCTTACTCTGAGAGCAGATCGCCTACTCCAGAGCAGGCCACAACGCAGAAGCCCAGACGAGGAGGCGGTCTCAAGTGTGTGCATCATGGCTCCGTGATGTTTTCTTACATGCTCTTGACAGGCGATCAGTTTCTTATTCTTCCATGCCCATCAGCGGTGAAGGGAAGGTTTACGAACCCATGGTTGGATCAAAGCCCCAATCGAGGTAGCGACTCCTTTCGCTCCTTGATGCAGTATTTTCTCACTCTATCGGCAGCTTGAGCAAGGGGGATGGCTTGGCCGCACAGGATCGTTCTATGGACGACAAGTCCCTGGCCAGCCACAGCTTACACAAATCCGATAGCAAGTTAACACTAAGAGAAGCTAGATAAAGGAAGCTAACATTATCAGCACGCAATTCAGAGGCGATAACTCGCAAATTCAAACAAGAGCGTTTGCCTGACATACTGCGGTATGTTGGCTTTTCTCCTATGTGGGGGTAGAAACAAAACATACTTTTCTTTCCGTCAACATGATTTTTGTCGTTCATACTTCACACATCGTTCTTGAGAATGCTTGAATCTATCTCATGTCAGATTCGTACCACTTACATCTCAAGCTGTGCCTTAAACGAACAATGACACTTGAACTCTTGTATAAAACAATAATTTATTCATTAAAGAATGATTCGACTTGCTGAAGAAACATGCCAGATACGACGGGCATTTTCAGTGTGTCAAGCAATTTAGAACCATTCGCCGAAGTAGAGTGGGCGCTGCTCGTGGTGGAGGTACTCCATCTTCCACATCCAGAGTTCGGTGGTCTGAGTCTTGGCAACGGTCTGGAACATTTCTGCGCAAGCACAGGTCAGAACCAGAGAACCTTGATGATAGAAAGAATGTCGAACAGGAACTTGTGATAGTTCGCCAGCAATCCAAAACACCCCGTCTAACTTCCCTAAACAACTCCACAACAATCCCTTTCTGACATGACATGCACATTCATCTGGTTTCCTCGTATGCAGGTACAAGAAGACATGTAGGAGATCCACTTTCTGCCATACCTTCTGTTCGATACTGTCAGTGAGTCGCCCCCGCGTTTATATAGTGGGGGAACTCCCGAAATAGAATACAACTATTTTAATTTATTTGTACCACGTAATTGAATATAAACCACATAGTATCAATATTATCTGGTACAAAATTTTGGTACTGAACACTACAGATTGGATCAAAGGAAAATTGAAATCTTGTCGTTGACACATACAAATTATTTTTCAAATGAAGTTTATATTTCCATTTAACAAACCCTGATACAAATACACACTGCCCTGAGCTCCACAAAACTGAAACTAAAATCATATAAGTTTCATTCCCGATACAGAATAAAATATTTTTAAATTTCTCTAATTTCGGACGTTTTGCCCTCATCCCCCAACATACACCCGGTCTGGCCGGGCCCGGCAGGCCCGGCGCCCCGTTGTGTATTTCAGTGCTCAATAGGGGGTGGGGTGGGGGCACGGTGGGTCACTACCCCTAGGTCCAAGAGGCACAAACACGAAAACCTCCCGTATCAAAAACTCTACCACCCCTGGTATAATTGTACCCTGCATAGTGCTTCAATGGGCTACTACCCCACCGTTGGAAGTCTTCTACACCCCTTCAGACCCACCCTACCTACCCACGAATCAATCCTGTTATGTGTCGAGTCACGTGGATAGGGTAGGTAGTACTACATACCCCCGTCTTGTCCATCAATCCATGGGGTATAATACCCCACCCCTCCATCATCAAATTGGTGTTAGGCAGAGGAAAGTTCTAGAGCAATGTCCGTGTAGGGAAGCTGAAGGAGGAGGAGGAGGAGGAGGAGGGGGGGGGGGGGGGGGAAGAATGGGAATGATGACGATTTTTTCACTGTGAACCAGGCTATTCACGTAAAGTCATGCTCATAAACAAGATCGAGGGTTATTGAGTAGGTGAAACCTTGGCGAA